CTTTACAAATGAAGTCCATTTTCTACTCTCCATTTGAAATGCTAATTTTTCTGCTGATGATTGTTTTCAAATAATACAAAATTTACCATGATAATGAAAGTGTCAGAGAACGTATGCTCTCAGTAAAAAAAAAAAAAAGTAAAAGTTTCTTTTTCACAGGCGTTTCTGCTGCTAATAGATATCGTGTTACATAAATACTGTAGAAAAAGCTGCTGCTCACTGTGAAGAAGCGTATTTCTTTCTTAAGCCGCAGGAGGGTGCTCCTCCCTCATTCCTCCTGGCCATACAGGAACTCAGCTCAAACGGTGTTAGAGGTCCTACAGGCAGCTTTCTTCTCTCAGCAAACGGTTCTAATGGGGTTACAGTGTGCGATTGGCTCCACTGCCCTGAGAAGCTTACATGGGTCCTTCATCATACCTTTTAAAAAGCAGAATTCGAATCTTTCTTCCAGCACAAACTTTGGCTTTGAAGATATATCTTTTTCTTAAAGAGATACTTTTTTTTCCCCTACTTTGAAGATGCAATTGTTACTGTTATGTTTATTTACCCAAAATGGAAAGTTTTTAAAAGTGCCCGAGAATGAAAACGCAAACTTCAAAAGTTACATAAGCAGGATGTCTGACCAATTGGTTTGCAACATGATGTCCATTCATCTATTTTTCTTGATCCACTTATTCCAGTTCAGGGTCTGCTATATGTTTAGACCAAAATAATACATCTAAAAGTTTTTTTTTCTCCCAGGTTATGATTCTACCACTGGTGGTGAGCATGAACCAATATCCCAAATAAAAGTGAGTGAGGCTGGTGTTTTGACACAGATATGAAGATTAACACAGAAAATTGAAAGTGCAAGGTAGTTGTGACTAAACAAATGTAAAGTGACTACACAGAGACATAATGTTTGTAATACAAACATGTTAAACGGCTATTATTTGTTAATATGCTTCAGATATTGGTACAATCTAAATAAGACATGGAGCATCAAGAGAAAGTGTGTCAGAGAGCTAAGAAATTTAACTCACATGAGAGCGAAACTAACCCAAATATGGATAAAATCATTAAGAGAGAAAGAAGGCTTGAAAATAAATGAACAAACAGAGAAATTCAAAAGGACATAAGGGTGGTCAAATTGTCTCGGCACATCTGGTTTGGATGTTGTCTCCCAAAATATGCTACGCCCATTCTACACTGTGACCTCCCTCGGGGCCCAGTTCATTTATCTTATCCCCCCGTTAAACCTCCTTACTACCTTCCAACTGAGGAATGTGTTATTCTAACACATGCATGCTTTATTAAAGTCAGTCTCCATCTTTGTTTAGGCCTCAGAAAGTGATTAAATAATGCAAATCGCCCTTCAGACACATGTTTGAAATGATTCATATACACAGAGAAAAAAATAGGATTTTTGTTGGGCTTCTCTGGTTTCTGTCTTAGATGTTTGGCTGTGGGCCAGCAATTTGGTAAGGGAAAGGAACATGCTATGGTCCAGATAAAAAAAAAAAAATCTTCTTTTAATTCTTACACATTTTAACACACTTTTGGTTATTGGATACATGGGCACAACTCAACAATGCCACAAGAAAAGTTAAAATGATGTATTTTTGTTTTTTTTACAGAATCATCAGTGTATATGTTTTATATAAAGATTTTCCTGTCTTTTAGTAGTAAGTTCTTGGAGTAGTAAATTCACAAAAAATGCACGTTACAAACAATAAAGCTCTGAGACAAACAGGGTCAATCAATACCAGTAGGTCACTCAGTCCCATTGTTTGAGTTTATTTCTGAAGTTTTATTACCTGTCAAAAATAATAAACTACCCTGACTGGCTCCAAAGTTGTGCGTATCACAAAGTGCAGTCTGCTAGAGCCGGTGGGGGATGTGGTGTAACGGTGATTCTTTACATTTTAATAGCATACAAGTATGAACAATGTAAAAAAAGTATCATTTAAGTTGAGTACAACTCAACAAACCCACAAGAAAAGTTCAAAAGATGTAATAGCTGCTTAAGGATGCAACCAATATTGCATTTTTTCTAAACCAAATCGTCAGTATATGTGTTTTAAATCTAAATGTTCTTGTCTTTTAAAGATGTAAATGTGTGTAGCCACATTCTAATTAATTGTCAGTAATTGTAAACACCACCCATTGTCCATGTGGTAAAAAGTTGTTGCTAATCCTTGAACTTGTTTAGCCATTTGAATCCACATAACTTCTGTAAGACATGATTTTTTTGTAGATGGAAAAATTGAGTAAGCATTCCACAACCCACACACTGATAACCTTTTTTTAAGGAGGTTTTAGAGGAGTGACAAGTATCTTGGCAACAGGACACCATAATTTAAAAAAAGAACACCACACCCTAAACGATGTACAGAGGTTTAAAGGAGACAAGTTCAACCTGTAATTCCTAATCCACGTTCTAACTATTAGCAACTAAAGGGATTGTTATCAGAAATAGTTTTCAATTTGTCCAACCCAGGGGAGTGGTGGTTTTCACGAACTCTATACACATCAGGCTAATTAAAAAAAAAAAAAAGCCTTGAAATCAGGATGCAATAGTAAGTTCACTTTGTCACTGACATTTTGCAGATCAAGAGGGTCAATAAATCAGTAGGTCACTCAGTTTTAGTCCATTTATGCAGTTTATTTCCTTTCAAAATTAATAAACTATCCTAACTCGCTCCAAAGTTGTGCTTTTCACAAAGTGCAATCAACTATACATTGATATTTCATAAAAGTTTGGACAAAGTATAATTCCCAGCATTGACTTTATTATGCATTTGTCCTTAATGAAACTAATTATTCAAGTCCCGGGGAACCAGGACCTGTCTGTGTGGAGTTTGCATGTTCACCTGTTGGATGGATGGATGGATGGATGGAAGGAAACGACTGAAGTGTAACTGACTGTGTGAAAAGACTATTTCAGATTATTTCACCGGCTGTATTCATGTTTAGGATCACTGCGTTTGCTGTAAAACTCTGTAATCCGGATGCTCTGGTTCTAATTTCATGGGTGTCAAAAGGTATTGAATGTGGAACTGTACTGCATTTCGCATGCAAATTTCTTCTATTTCTTAAAGGCAGACATGTCATACAAGTTAACACACTTTCCTGAGATCTTATTCTAGTGTCTCTTACATCAAAAATATATTTATATATATTTATATTTTTAAGGCATGGAGCGAGAGCAACTGCCCCCTCTTCTCTCGTCTATATGTTTCTGAAGTAAGATATATTTCACAGCTCAATAAATAATAAATAGAAAATGATTGACCTGTCTGAGAGCTCACAAAAGTACACACAATGATCTGTACTTTGACTATAGCACAAGAAATTTATATAAAGTCCTTCAGAGGCAAAATAATTCCCCAGAAACTGCTCTCTGTTTTCAATAGTTTACAGCATGTGTCTTGGATGTTAAAATACCAGTCCACAGGTAGAAGGGTTGAAATCATGCACTCATCTACATCTACAGGGCAGGTAAGTCAAATACTGAAAGCTGGAATTGACATTGATTATTGGGTCCATAAAACCCAGCCCTTGAAGGTTTTTTTTTTGCTGTTTTTACACACATCTAACAAAATTTTGCATTCCTGGAGTTCATTTTTCTTGTAGCAGGGGGAGGTGTATTTATAAGTCAAACTAGAAATCAGAATTCTTGACTTGTTTAAAATAATATTTGTACGTTTTACTCATATCTGAGGAAAACAAAATGGAGTGATTTGAAGTTAAGGTTTCGGTGAAGATGAAGATGAGGAGGCAGGTACATTTGGTGGGAGAGAGAGAGAGAGAGAATAACTCCAAAGGCAGCGTTTTTTTTTTTTATTGATTTATTTTATGTCAGAAAATTGGAAATGGTTGTAACTCCAGATGCCAAAATACAGAGACCCCTAAAAATCATGAAATAACCTCCTTTCATTCAGTTATCTGGATATGTCTTTTCTTTATAGGCACTTGCCGCTCTTGTATAAGTAACTTGTATGAAACACTGACACACATGACAAGTAAGAGCTCGACACAGACAGACGTTAATAATCCACAAAGACAAACGGCACAGAAGAACCCGGGGTGAGCTCATGGACTCTGTGTGAGCTCATTTACCGTCTCCGTGCAGCAGACAGGCCGTTGGTATGCGTCATGTACTTTTGGAAGCGCTCACAGATCTGCAGGGGGGAAGTTTCTCTCCAATATTTCACCGTGTGCCGTGGCTGTGTCTGGCTATGTGCGTTTGAAAATATGATGTAATACTTGTGGGCTCAGTTAACTAAAGCCAGACTTTGGGATGAAAAACAGAACATAAGTGGAGAGTCTTGTTGACTCACTCTATGTGAACATTACTGAAAACAGTCCACCATTCTAAGAATAATTAAACTTTACACAGTATGTAAGCGCAAAACTAAGCTCTTGTAATGTTCATTGTCTGTGGTGGTAAAACTGAACCAGCAAAACCTTTAGAAGGGATACAGGTTTGAATATTTACATTGTTTTAAACAATAGAGTTGAGAATACAATGTCAAAAAAGTTGAAAACTAAGTGTGCCTATATGCCACCCCAGAAACAGTAATACTATCATTTTGCAAAAGTCTTTCGACCCAAGAGGAATGTGAAACGTGAACCCAACCTTACAATGTGAATGTCTATCATTTAAACATAAAAATATTGCGCTTTCTAAAAGACTCCATCTAACTGATTCCTCCTTCATTCATTTGATTCAGCACATAAGTATGTTCTGTTCTCACTGTAGCTATTCATTACTCACACCTTTAAGATCTCAGCTTTCACTTGTCTAGCACTAAAGGGGGCAAAGGTTGGTGTTGGAGAAGAAAATGATCACTTCTGCTATGTTATCATCAGAGTGGAGGAAGCTATTGAATGTGCAAGTGTAAAAACAGGGGCAATGCCAACTCATGTAAGCCAAAAATGCATGATTTTCCAAATTAACTTTGGTGTAAGGAATCCTTATATGGAGATGGACAGACAGTGGGAGGAACAGCCCGGGTATGAAGTTACTCATCCCATTGGGTGACCTCATCTCGTCTGTTCGAGCTTGCACGCAGGTTAAAACCAGGTTGGTTGTCTTGTTTCACTGGCGGGATATGACTATGAGCAAAGAACACAATAAACTTAAGCCACAAGGTGAAAGGTAAAAAATCCAAGAGAAAGCCAATTCATCCCAGGTGGCGACAGATAAAGATACAAATCAAAGTGGGTGCATCGTGGCAAAGAAAGAAAAATAACCCACGCTTGATCATAGAGATAATGAAAAAAAGATTAAGGTAGGTTAACCAGTTCTTGACCTCCATAGTCAAAACTTTTATATACAATACTTATAAAAAGTAGATTCCACAAGGTTTTTTTTTTCATATTATGTATGACATTCTGTCCTGTATCCCTCAAATAAACCTGGTCAGACTCAGTAAGAAACAGACTGGAATCCAGTCTCAGTTAATGTTTATTTCAAATTCTTTTTGTTCATACATAGATTCCAATGTTTTTTTAAACTTCTGCAAATGCTGTCCAAACATAATATTTCCCAGCAAAGGGGTTGTTTTTTAATTCAGACATTTTCAATCCGTCAAACATTTCTTTTTCTTGTTTACTTTTTCACGTGCATATATTCAGTTTTATTCTATTACTAGTGACAAATAACATCAAATGTCAAATCAGGCCAATTAGAATCTGATTCATCATCTGAAGAAGAAAAAGAAACAATAATTTACTCTCACCTCCAGTTTCCTCATGTCCCCATTCAGATGGACATGGCACTTTATGCAACAAAACATGTTTAGTTGTGTCCAGTTCTACATTATTTAGGCTTAGCTGCCCGTGAACCTTCCATTGGCTGACTGGTTATCTTTCCATACCCATTTTTGTTCAGTATGAATTATTTTCCTTTGCTGTCCTGTCAATATAGCTTATGCTAGTTATCAAATCATTGGCGCAATATCAGCTAGTCAAAAGAAGACTATGAGGCCTTATTCTATTTTAGTATGAAATACAATGACAAAAGGGATCAGTTACGCAATAGATATGATACAGTGTACAAATGTCAAATGTGTCACGAAGTGTTGTGTCACGAAGTGTTGGGTGGAATCTCTATATTAACTAGACCAAAACTCGGCATGACCAGAATTCTTTTACTCCTCTGTCACTGGTTGTCTAAATTATTCTAATTCTTTGCAATACCTCACTCATGTGTTTAGGGGACTGGGAAGCATTAAGGTAATCACCAGAACAGTGTCAGAAATAAGGAGGTTTTCCACATCTACTCAAGGCTTCCAACATTGTTGTTAAGCAACATCATCTAAAACAGTTCCACGGCAACAATAGTTATGTACAGCCAAATCGAACATATTACAAATCACGTGGACTAAAATTGTTTGCAAATCATATAAAAACATGATAAAAACTTTATTTCATAGATAGCAAATGAAGTCTGCACAATCTCTAAAATTTTCACTGCTACGGTACGTTTTTCTAAATGTTGTGTTGCTAATCGTATTCCAACAGAAGACCCGCTCTATAAAGTAGATACATTGGGAGGCAGAAGATCAGGCTAAAATTAAAAGTATGCAGAAATTCTACTCGGGTGATGATTATATTACAGTCACTGATCAAGAACAAGTTTTACACAGCAGGTGTGGGACAGTGTGGCACTCCCCACAAACTGCATAATGAACACACAGAGCACAGACTGTACATTATGATGTTCAACCAATTATCAAACCAGTCAACAAAATTTAGGAACAAGGGTCCATACAAAGCCAATATATAAAGCAAAACAATTATTGAATTAATCATGAAGGGATTATTTGAGGGGTGGTGACATAATCGCCTTTTGAATTAGGTACTGAAAAGTGATGTTGATTTTCATTTAAGAGAGGGGTTTTATCTTTTTGTTTTCCTTCCAGACTCTTGATTTTGACATCTGATAAATTGATCTTATTTTTCTATAGCTGCCTATTGATGTGATGGTTACTATGTATTCTCAGAATAAGAAGGCTCCCTTTCCAAACTGCAGACTTGACCTATCTGTGTGGACTTGTGTGTGGTATCCACGTGCATCAGCAGATTGAGAACAGATTAAATATGCACGTTAGATCAATCCATGCTTCTTGGTTACCCTTGAGTCAGGTTGCTTGTCTCGTTTCTCTTTTGTGTTGGCCATTAGAGGACCTGTATACTGTCCAGGATGTAAGCTATTAACCACAGTGAATTTCAGCCCTCAAAGTTACCCTGAAAGTTACCCAGAACTGGACAGTGTGCTAACTTTTTTTAATTAATCTCAAACCATGAACTGTGGACTCATCCATATTCAAAATGATGTCACCAAAGACAAAATAAAAGGGCTAAGTAGACTGAATATAAAGGTTATCACGGCATGATTCCCAGACTAGGACAGCTGTCAGACTACACCTTTCTTTCTACAGTTCTGAATAGGGGGCAACCACAGTGGGAACATGTTTTGTTTTCTATTTTTCCTCTCTTCTTCCATTCCTTCATGATAACCAGTTTTTAACACCCGAGGTATCAGCTGAAAAGTTGCACTGAGTTGTTGGCACGTGCTTGTCTCCACGTGTTGTACATTCAAGAACTCTTGTTTTTTTGGGGTCCTTTATGGCCTTACTTCTTCATTTTCAAAAGGTTTTTGCCATCTTTGAGGCATATATCTTGATGCATGAAATAAGTTACGGGGCATTTAAGATATGATGACGAGAAAAGATAAAGTGCACCCACAACATAAAAATGAGCAAATCAGCTGTGTAAAAGATAAGATATCATCGATTATCATTGGGGATCGATTATTGCCTCTCATTAATCTCCATGGTTGCCTTTTTCGTTTTTCTTTTGTTTTGGCCATTAGAGGACCTGTAAACTGTCCAGGATGTAAGCTATTAGCCACGCTAAATTTCAGCCCTCAAAGTTACCATGAAAGTTACCCAGAACTGGACATTGCGCTAACTTTCTTTAATTAATCTCAAACCATGAACTGTGGACCTATCCATATTCAAAATGATGTCACCAAAGACAAAATAAAAGGGCTGAGTAGACTGAATTTAGACTAAAGATTATCACAGCATGATTCCCAGACTAGGACAGCTGTCAGACTACACCTTTCTTTCTACAGTTCTTAATAGGGGGCAACCACAGTGGGAACGTGTTTTGTTTTATTTTTTTCCTCTCTTGTTCGATTCCTTCATGATAACCAGTTTTTAACACCCGGGGTATCAGCTGAAGTGTTGCACTGAGTTGTTTGCACGTGCTTGTCTCCACGTGTTGTACATTCAAGAGCTCTTGTTTTTTTGGGTCATTTATGGCCTTCGTTCTTCATTTTCAAAAGGTTTTTGTCATCTTTGAGGCCTGTATCTTGATGCATGAAATAAGTTATGGGGCATTTAAAAGCTATTAGCCACACTAAATTTCAGACCTCAAAGTTACCCTGAAAGTTACCCAGAACTGGACAGTGTGCTAACCTTCTTTAATTAATCTCAAACTATGAGCTGTGGACTCATCCATATTCAAAATGATGTCACCAAAGACAAAATAAAAGGGCTGAGTAGACTGAAGGTTATCACGGCATGATTCCCAGACTAGGGAAGCCGTCAGACAACACCTCTCTTTCTACAGTTCTGAATAGGGGGCAGAGCCTCTACAGGGCAGCTCACTTTCATTTGCTAAACTCCGCAGTCACACTGTGTGACATCACAGGGGTGTAGCCTCGTGCTACAACTCAAAAAGCAGGCAAGAGAGAAAGAAGAGACATACAGCCTCCACAGTTTTCCCCAACCGCACTGATCTGGTGAAACGCATGGTGCTCTGCAACACGTAAGTATAGAAATAACTTGTAGCTTCACGTAAAATGTTGTTTCTATTTAGCGTTCCTTCTTCTGAGAAACTTTGTTTACACTGTGTTTTGTCTTTATAATAGATCTTTCTGTTTGTCGGAGCCCACCAGGATAAAGAAAGGATTCACTCAGTGTAAAATCTGCAACGTGAACATGAGTTGTCCAAGGTAGGCTGCTATTTTTTCATTTAACTGTTGTTTTTTATGGTTTTCTTTTAATAAGTTGCAACAACATTGCAACAGAACTTATTCTAAACCTGATGTGTGTCTCCCTTTCAGAGTTCTTCACGCTCTTGGTCACCACCGGTCGAGCGTATCCCAGGCTGAGCTGGCCATGTGTCTGGATCAGAAACTTGCTCTGTACCCGTTAATGTCAGCTCCACAGCCTATGGAGCCTCACCGGCAGCCGGCCGTCTGCTCACGCAACAAGACCGCCCTTCGCTCCGTATATCCCTCATCTTCCTCGCTGCCCACGTATTGGGAGACCTCGAAGCTGCAGAGGTGTTTCCGCAAGAGCAGGGCCCTGAACAAGAAGCGCGTGGTGTTCGCCGACGCCCTGGGGCTGGAGCTCACCGCCGTGCATCTGTTCACGCCCGAGCCTTCCTCCCCCTCGTCCTCATCGTCATCTGGGACCGGACCGTCTCCAATCCAGCTTCAAGACCAACAGTCGGCCTCCAACAGAGCTCCGCGCTACAGTCTGCGGCTGGGTTTCCCTCAGCCCACGATGGACGTCAAAGCCTTTTTTGGAAATCTGCGAGAGAGGAACATCCAACTGGAGAGCTGCAGCGTTTCGGAAAACTCGATAAGTGGCCGAGTGTGGATTTCCCACATCAGCATCAACAAGGCCGTGCACGTAAGCATTACCTTTGACTCCTGGAAGACTTGGCGGGACTTTCCCTGCGCGCACTCGCACCAACAGCGGTGCGGCGGGATGGACGCGGACGTTTTTTCCTTCGACGTCCCGATACCCGAGAACGTCGACCCGAAGGAGAAAATTGAGTTTTACCTGTCCCTCCGACCGGGCCCTTTCCCCGCCTCCCACACGGACAACAACAGGGGTCAGAACTACAGATTGTACGTGGAAAAAGACGAGTCGAGCGGTAGCCAAGGCAACGCAACCTACCACGACCCGACCGTGTCGAGGCAGCCGACGCCCGCCCCAAAGTCCAAAGTGCCCACTTTCGCCCAGAACTCTGCTGTTTTCCAGCATCTCAACGAATGGCTGTCCACGCAACAGTGCCGAAGGATCCGCCCGGAAACGAGTCGACCGGTGAACTTTTTGTACAAACCCACCAGTTATGATGCAACCGTTATGTCTGTGGGATAGAGTTAGAACTTGAACTCTGAAACTGTAAGCCTGAGCCAAACTAACCCACTGAAATATGAATGAAACCTGCTCGAAAAACTTGGAATAAATTATTACGTTTAAAAAAATGTGTCTCTTTTTCTCCTTCTCCTTTATTGCAATTAAAATCTTTTGTTTGTGGAAAGCTAATAACCTTGCCTACACTGAAGCGTGGGCACACTGTGTAGCACGGCATGTTAGCCCTTGTAGAGATGCCCGGGGTGAGAAAACACTGAAACGAATGGTTCTGGGTATGATACACAGTGTTCCCTTTAACCTGTTTTCTCACGCATACCGTACAGACTTAATCAGCAAAGTGGGATATCCTCTTGGCAAACGGCCACAAACTGATTGAAAGGAACACCCTTGCTCTAGACTAGACGCTCCCTGTTCTTGTGCTCTGGGAATAGTTTGTTCTTGTATACACAACCGGTTTGGCCAAGCGCAAAGTAACTTTCACAGCGTGTACTCTGGGTTTTGTTTACATGCCAGGGGTGTTGTCATCATTGGATACTATGGCAACCGCAGTGGGAACATGTTTTGTTTAGTTTTTTTTCCTCTCTTGTTCCATTCCTTCACGATAACCGGTTTTTTAACATCTGAGGTATCAGCTGAAGTTTTGCACTGAGCCGTTGACACGTGCTTGTCTCCACGTGTTGTACATTCAGGAGCTCTTGTTTTTTTGGGTCATTTATGGCCTTCGTTCCTAATTTCAAAAGGTTTTTGTCATCTTTGAGGCATGTATCTTGATGGATAAAATAAGGTATGGGGCATTTGAAATATGATTTCAAGAAAAGATAAAGTGCACCCACAACATAAAAATAAGAAAATCAGCTGTGTAGAAGATAAGATATCTGATTATCTGATATCTGATAATCATAGGGGATCGATTATTGCCTCTCATTAATCTGGAAAAGGGATATAAGGGCATTTCAAACAATTTGGTATCAATCAGTCTACATTGAAAAAAGAGTATTCACAAGTGGAAAACAACATTCTTCCCAAAAACTAGACACCATAGAGACTTCACCATTAAGTCATGTTTTGCAGTGCTCTGAAAAAAACTAAGTGAAAATTGAGAGCTACATATCTTGACAAGCCTCAGATAGGGTATTACATTTGAAAGCACAGAGCAGAACAATAAGAAAAAGACTGAATACGTATGGATTGTTTGTAGAACTTCACTAAGAATGGAATATAACAGCACGGTTCAGGTGTGTATAGCTACATCTGGACCACATCAGGACTTCTACTACACGGACAAGTGGCCATAACAAAACACGATCCATCATCACAAAACCTTTACAACTAACTAGCCCAAGCATGGCTTTGAATATAACGACAGAAGGGAGGGATTTGGATCAAAGCCGTACCACTGGTGAGTCAAATAAGGAGTCTCAACAAAAGGGCATGCTGATTAGACCAAAGCAAGAAATTTACCTCGCAGCTGGCGCATGAAGTGGTGTTGTTACACACTCGCTAAATTAGTGATCGATTTCTCCATTCAAGCGTGTCAAATAGGGATGTTTTGTCAAAGCTCATAAAATCTCAGAAAAACTCGGTGTCAACGCACCAAACCGAGCCACTTTTTTTTTCCTGTTCGCAAACAACAAAGCAATCGTTGTGTGGCTCCCGTGGAGGAGGAAGAAAAGTAGGAATAGACAAAAACAAAAACGGTCTCACACCATTAATCCAAATTTGAAAAAACTTATTGTGCGAGCGAGTTCTCCAAATAATCAATGTTCATGCTGTCAGAATGAGTGATTGCCAAAACATGAACTTGTACACAAGGTACACAAAAGGTAATAACCCCAAATTCTCCCTAAGAGTGTTTAATAATTTCAAATACATGATGAAAAGTTGACTTAAATATGATGTGCTAATTCTGAAACTAGTTCAGAAGTACAGTATAAATTAAATTCAACAGATTCTATCTAGCCCTGAAAACTCTTTGTTTCTTGTTTGAACATACAGTTCTTTCACATACAGTAGGTGTTGGCTTACAATTATCTGCATGTACTCAGCTGTTACGCAATCAGTGGCAGGAAATGCTAATATGGTAGAAAAATGCTGCTAAACAACCTGGCGTTTGACACAGGCCTCCTTCGATCTTGAAATGATCGCCGTCAATACAGTTATAGTAAATAAAAGGTTGAGTCAAGCTACAGTTACATCTGAAATCGAGAGTTTAACCGAGCATTTAACCACCAACTTTCTCCTGAAATACTGCTTTGTACTACGTGAACCAGCTGCTGAGCATTCTGAGCATTCCCAGCAGGAAAACGCATCAAATTTCAAAAGCCATGCACTCATATTCATAAAGCTGTAATGCGCTTATTCGCTGGTCAGTGTCAATTATTGCAACTGCAATTTTGCAAATTTTACCATTTAACTTGCGGTTGGCACAGCTGCAGCTTACTGGGCTGATGCTTCTGTATATAAAACAGCAGCATGGAGAGGGACTGTGAACTCAAAATGTGAGCTGCAGAGATTTAATACAGCAGGATGACTGAAAGAAAGGCAGCAGACAGCAGTCTATCTGTTTATTTATTTAATTTTCTCCATGCTTTTCTGGTCCCAAACAGGAAAAAAAAAACTCCATACTGGAATCAAGCCTTTCCATATATTTACCTTCGGCTATGACAAGCACTTCAATTAAAATATTCACTGAACAGATTATTGAATTCCCGCGCAATGCGTGAGAAAACATGAGCTAAGACTTACTTTAAATTTCTTAGATGTGTCTACATTTGTTAGCTACATCGAGTTCAGATCAGATAAGGATGAGATTCTCTAAATTCTTTAAATGACTAATGTTATCAGCAACACAAGTGATTTTGAAAGATCAGGTTGAAAACAAGCACTAATGATTCATACCAATCAGCAACTGCACCATATAAAGCAGTCCTTTAAAAGAAAAATTCAAAATATTGAATATCGTTTTCTCTGTAAGAAAATGCTTTTTATTATCTGCTGAACCGACAGATTGTACAAAACAGTTAACATGGACCAAGCGGTTGGATTATGTGGGAGGTTATCAGGTGAAAAACAGCACTCTCTGGTGGTAACATGGTAGAAGATTTCCTAACTTTCCTAACTACCTATCAGTGAGCTCTACAGTACATGAGGACAGAAGTGAGGAAATGAATACAGGGTCACAGTTCAAACGCAAACATGGATGAACGGTCACAAACCCATTAGTAATAATAATAGTAAATCAATCTGTAATATCAGTGTGACTCCAAACAGCTTGGGTGAGCTAACCTATTGATCTGCAGCTCCCAAAAATGTGCAGATGGTTGTTAATTCCGTCAGCAGATTCGGTCGCTTACGGAGAACTTTATTCACACCGATCGCTGGGCAGGTGCTCGTGGTCAGGGTTCCAATATGAGCGGCTGAAACACTCCGCGGCTTTTCTGTCGCACTCACAGATGAACATCTCGCACTCATCGTTCTTGTCTAAAGGGGAAAAAAAAGACACATACGCAGAGTGTTAGTTCCGGTCTGATTTGAACACGTCTACGAAAAAAGGGGGGTGCGCTCACCTGTGCAGGTGATCTTCTTGTTGGCCTCGTCGCAGGTGTAGTGGTAGAGCTCGGTGTAGGGGTTGTCCAGGATGGGCCAGCACTCGGGATGCTGCATGGCGTCGCTGTAGCACTGGTCGTGGACTTGGCAGCACCTGCGGGTCAAAAGATCGGACGGGACGGGGTTTTGAGACGCGGAACGAAGGCGCGTTTTGCCCGAATCTGGCGAGAATATAGAGCGTCTGAATGGTGACCTGTCCAGATCGTCAACCGGTGTGCCGGAGCCTCCGTATCCGCAGTAACAGCCGTAGTCGGCGTAGTCCAGGGCGGGCCAGCTGTCCGGCATCATGCACAGGATCATCCTCCTGAACTGGTTGAGAGCTTTGTAGTCCAAAGAATGGGCTTCAACAAAAAAGAGAAATGTTTATAGCTTATCCTATAGGTTTGCTCACAGAAATGTGCAAACAGTGATTTTTTTATTAAGAGAAACTCACCCATAGAGAGGCCTACGGCCAAGAGAAAGATGGTCTGAAGGGCGTTCATTCTGTAAGAAGCTCAGCCACAGAGTGGCTCCTACTGGGGGGATAGGCTTTTTTATACCTGGAGTGTGGGACCATGTTTCAGCTGTTCATACAACGTTAGGTCACACAAACTCGGACAAACAAGCATGTGGTAAAGGTGATAACTGTTCTCACACTGTTCCTGCCTTTAGAGAGGCATATCTCTAGATTTGGGCTTGGGTCAACAGGACCAATTCGAAATGCTTCAAATATAAAGTTGATCTGTTATTAATCGAATAGCTTACCTTTTACATTGGTGAAGAATAAGCCATTTTCAATAATGGACAATTGGAGATACAGCTGCATGATGAATGGAGCTTAACTTAACTGTAACTCATTAGTTTGCTTATACTTTTCCGCTTTAACATTTGTAATTGTTAAATATCTCTCAAACTAGGCAACGGAATGAGATTTTCCTTTATCAGTCATAAAAATATTAAGAAACAATCTCTTTGGAGGAGGTCACAAAAACACTCCACAGTTTTTCTCTGGGCACTGAGCTGAAAGGTTATGGGATTGAGTCAAAGTTTAAGTCAAAGGTTATGAGTTTAAGTCATCATAACGAAAAATGCAGGCCTGCTGAAATGGTAAAACTGAATAATCACAGTGATATATATTTAGTTGGAAATATGCTAATATAACTACTACAAGTACCTGGGTGCCACACTGTAAACTAAACTGGACTGGTCCACAAACACAGACGCCATCTAGAATAAAAGCCAGGCCCAATTGTCATTTTTGAAGTAGGCTTGGGTCCTTTAAAGTCTGCAACAAGATCCTGAATAGCAGTCTGTGGTGGTGAGCACCATATTCTGCTCAACAAACTCATCAGGTGTTTAACTTGTTTTCTATTAACTTTGCTTGTTCCAAAAACTGAATAAAAAAAACAAAACCGGTAACAAAAGCTGCCTATGTTATACAAAAGGCCATCAGAGCTGCATTTGTAACTTCATCTTTATTACAGGTCTCAAACACAAAAATATAATTTACAGGAAGAACATATGGCAAAGGGGCCATACTATGCTCTGAGAGGTGGACAAATTGAATTGGAACCACATATAAGCTCACATGCTTATTGCTTTTGGTCCTATATTTTCACCACTTCCCCCCCAAAAGCTCCCTCTGCTCTGTTTACTTATACGCTCCCCCTAGTTCAATGAGGGGAACACAGCTAGAGGTTTGGCTTGTGTTACTGATTAGAAATGCTTTAAAAAAAGCATTGTGTCACAGCTATAACTGGCCAAAAAGAGTGGAATGGTACAAACCCTAAAAGCATAATATGACCCCTTTAATCATACAGCATTCAGCTCCTAAGTCCAGCATCTCAGCATTAATAAATCAACACTATGTCAGTGCAGCTTCTTCTTTATAGCAATTATACTTTTCTAACAACTTGGCGAAGACACCTCAGCCGATGTTAACATACGTTAACATAGAATAGTTCAGTTCTTCAGTCTTCATTGATAGTTATCTAATCAATAAAAAAACAGCAGTGTACTCTCCAATCACATCCTGGCCCCTTTGTCGGCGCCGTTTGAATGTCTTCCATTCAGTTTCGGGCGTGTTTACAGTTTAAAATCAATCGGAAGTTTGTAGGATACTCGATTCGACTCAAACTGGTGCGACTGAATCCTGCTAATTAAAATGTCACATGACCCGAAATTCATTGCATAAATCCATCGCCTGCCTAAGTGCTCAAAGACCAAATCTCCTCCTCTGATACATTGTCAAGGTGTAAGTGCACAGATCACCTTAAATAAGACTAAAGCAGACACTGCAAACAACTTTCTAAAAAATAATCTTTAACCTCAGCAGATGACATGATCAACTTATTCAACACAAAAATATACGGCTACATACTTGATAAATACATCTACTCTGTACTGTGCTGCCGCCAGCAAATGGGATCGGTCTGAACGAAAAAAGACAAAGACAAACAGTATAAAACTAGTGCAGTGCATCTTATCAGCCTATACATTCAAGATTGAAGCTCTTCTCAACCAGGGGAGAAATGTCAGCGGACTTTATTACACTTAGCCTTTCATTTAGATATGGCCCCGGACTGTCAGTCCATTGGGTTTTGGTATGGTTGCTTCTTGTTTTTTTTTTTTATGAGCACACGAGCAACCTCCTCCAAATCCTCACTGCTTTTGTTTCACGTTGAAGTAAAGTCACCGTTGTGTAAAAATACATGGGGCCGTTAGGGAGCAAATAATGGCAGATTATGAGGGGCTAGAGAGATTGTAACCCTCACCACAGCGGATGTGCTCATAAAACTGGATTCACAAAGAGTTTAAAAGATGTCTAAGGCTCTCTGTCAGTCGTGTTTGATTGTAAACTTGATAGAATTTTCTGTTTGTGTCCGTAAACAGGCGGACTGTGGACGACTGCCCGGTGAAGGACGAGGGACCCAGCCAATTTAAATCATTTACAAAGATTGTGTCAAGGTTCAGCAGGGAAAACTTTGCCTCTGTTCCTGCTTTCCTTTCCTGGTATCTGAACATTTCCTCCAGCTGTGTTGTCAAGCTGTCAAACCTCCCTAATTCTAAATTCTGCTAAATCAGAGAAAAAATTGGCTCTGGTGGGTCCGTCTTACATTCCACTTGACAAAAGCGTTTCTAATGTCACCCACTTAACTGGTATAACAGACCGTCTTTTTTCTTAAATACACTGTCAGGGCTTTGGAAATGTGACCATGGTTCTGGTATCCATGGAAAAGAAAATGAACCTCTGAGGGGGTTAAACTCATGAAGCTCATGTGGAAGACTCGCACAGATGCAAGGGACTGTTGATCTGTTTGGTGGAAATAATTCAAGTCACCGTCATCTTTTTACTTAATGACAGGATTCCTCTGTTTTGAACTTCTCCTTTCTGTAGCTTTCTGAATGGATAATTTAATCGTGTCTTATGTTACGTGGTGTTTCTGGACTTTGATCCCTTCCATCTCGCTCAGAGCTGCTTCCCCAGGTTTAGGAGAAGCTAGCGGGTGGAACCTGTGTGCGCTGACAGATTGGCTTTGTGTGGTCTCGACATTTTAAGGGGAAAAGGAAGTGTGCGGAGGTTTTTTTTTTTGTACACTCGGTGTACAAACAGCACGCAGCGCTGGAGTGAAAAGCACGGGCTGCCGTCAGATCGGCTTATACAGCAAAGTGGTCACGTATTTCTTCTTGTAGCGATGTGTGGCGCTGAGCACCATCACTCCATCCTGTGAGAGAAAGAAAGACAACAGAAAGAGAAAATAATAACAGTAGTGTTAGATCCACTCTGCTCAGAAATCCTATTTTTGGGTTTTATTGAGCGGGCCACTCATTGTCAGTTACTTTGAAATAAAAAGGTAAAACAAATATTATTAGCGTTGAGCATGTCTTTAGAGAAAATGATCCAGCTGATGGGCAATTTTGTTTGTTGCGGAGAGAGGGTAGAAAAAAACAAACATGTGTAGTGAGCTCTAGTTACATTTACGCGCATTGTGGCTCAGGTTTCCTGTGATGGGGAAATTCAATCTGGTTCCTCGTATTTTCCAGCACCGCTCACCTGCGAGGACTAAGAACCCATTTTGTGTGCTTTTATTTCAACGGGTTTGCCCAGAACGTCTGCCCCTCAGGCATTTTGAAGACTAACACCTGAAATCTTCCACTAACTTTGTTATTCAGCAGTTAGTGGAATTGTTATTTTCTGTAATCAAATATGAGTTTTAAAGCCAACACTGGACAGTATTAGTAGAATGAAATATGGATTATTTTCACATGTGGAAATTAAAACTGTTTACTATATTTCTAAAGCAGATTCTGCTCCCGTGTGCCATAGCTGCAAAACGTCTAAACCCTGCTTATATTTAGAAAAAAAAGAAAGGAAAAAACCCCACATATACAAACCAAAACTTATCACTGCAGATAAAACTTAATGGAAAAAGTGTTCAAATGGTGCCAACTCAAATGGAAAAACCTTGTGTGATTTAGATAACAATCCGCAGGCAGTGTGAACTCCCGCTCATTTGTTCTATTATTAGTCCGGTGCTATCACTTCAAGGCATATTGTGTCACCAAAGCGTCTTGTTTGCAACTATAAAGAATGCTGTAAGAAGGGCAGTTATCTGTCCTTCTGTCTGCCCTTCCGTTTGGGCCACGGCTTGTTGTCACTGCGAGGAATTCCAGAGATACAATCTGCACTGAGGGCTACGTGCACGCTTGCCAAACTTAATAGCTTTCCGGGAAAACGACAAACAAAGCTGATCGTTTTGCATATGTCCCCCCAGACACATTTCCCACGTCAGCCATGCGGTGATCCCACACAAAAAAAAACCCAGTGCTGTGCTATTTAGTCTACCAGAGGGCTCACCTTAATGGAAAGCGCATAAAGGTGGTTCAGCATGACGTGGTTGGGCTCCGGAAGCAATGCAGGATCACACTAAACAGAAATAAACAATTCAGAGGGAGAACATGAGAACACAACAAGATTCAACATGCACAGGTTCAGGTAAATGACAGAATTGTAATTGTGGATTAAGTAAGTTCACTCAGGAGTACCCAAATTGTAAAAACTAAAGAAATTCGAATGCATTACAGCCACTTACAGAAATGCCTGTGTCTTTATTGAGGATGACCTGCAGGAGGTGAGGAGGGAGAATAGGTGGAGACTTGAACTTCTCTTCCTGCTTAGGAACATAGGCGTCCTGATGATACGGGCCGGGAGGAGAGCTGGACAGGTCTGATGAAGGAAGTGCAAAACAACAGAACTGTTAGCGAGCACAGCAACGGAAATAAAACACCCAGGACATTCTATCTCTGGTTAGAGAGAATAGAGTTTTTCTTTTCATCTCGCTAACTAAGTATGTCTTTCAACAGTCATGGGAATCAATTCACTGCTGTGTAGTGAGATAATGGGGTTTGAGAGTTAAATTAAAGAGGGATAAAATGAGCATTATTCGTTCACAAATTCAACCCCCCCAAAAGAATCCCCGTTTATAAGATTTGGACAAAAGTGAATCCAAACTCTCACCCGACATGTCCGAGCACTTCTGGGAGTCCACCATCAGAGCGTCAAACACCTCAAAGTCAGTTTTCTTCACCTGGATGATGTTGTTGACTGTCCCGAGCTGGTTGGTCACAACAGGCTGTGCCGAAACAATGACACAATTCAGTTCACAAAGCTGAACGATGAGCAAGCCAGATGCCTGGAAAATTCTAACAGGATAATACAACAGTGCCACAAAGCCCTGAGGCAGAATGCGGTAATTAAATTTGAGACCACGCTGCCTGTAATCACGTTCCTCCTCTACTTCCCGTAGACATTTAGGAGACGAGTGATAAATAATTTGTATCATTAAGGACTATAATTTTGCAGAGATGCAGAATGTTCGTTTACATATGTTAATAAGCACTGAGATTGCTGCTTGGAGACAGAAATGGCACCACAATGATTCAAAATGCAGCGACAATGGTGATGCCTTTTGTTTATCAGAGGCTGAAGGTAATGATTACAACAAATATACCCAAAGGGACGGATCCAGCATCCGATGCGTGATTTATAAAATAAGTGAAATACCTCCTAGTTAAAGCAAGGAGTTATAAACAAAATAACTGCCCACCTCAGTTGGATCATGGGTCCACTGCCCGTCCACATAAAACTTGTACTGATGCTCCCCTTCTGGTAGATCCACAATTGCCACAAAGGTGTTCTGACTGACATTAAAAAAAAATTGTATTTTGGAAATAGGTCAGTTCCAACAGGACTCAATTCATTCAACCTCAATCACAATATCTGCAAACACTGCATTTTCTTTGAGAATGTGCACTTATTGGATTTAGGGGTGATCAGGCTGCGTTTGTTTCCTTTTCCCTCCAGCGCAGGTAGCTACTGAATACACTAGCTGGTAGTGGTTACAAAATAATGCTTTTTTCTTTCCCCACAGAGTGCAGAGGCAATGGTCAAACAAACCATTGATCTTTAACCCTGTTTTGAAGATAAGGCTTCTCTACATGTAATTAAGGGGAACTTTTTTATATAAAAACACTCTACAAAAGTCCGTCATTAATGAGGAGGTGGTGTTGGTGCTTGTAGGGAGTGTGGTGTGTGTGTGTTAAACTTCTGCTCACTCCAGACTTCTGATTGGCTTAAACAAAGTTAATGACTGAAATAGCACAACGGCACACACTGGAAAACGGGAAGGCGTCCCCTGAAGCGCTGATCCCATCAGAATACTTGGAAAACATGCTGAGCATTATGCCCTAAGAACCAAGGTTGGGAAACACTGCTCTAAGCTGCCAAAGACCACTTATGAGTGGATATGTGCTACTCTTTTTATATTTTCAAATAACCCCATGACTTGGTACTGACTTGTTTGAGACTCATTAACACATGAACAGAAAAATGAGTAAAACATCACACCAGTATCACAAGTACAAAAAACAATCAGAATATTTCCTTACATTGTATAAAATTAGTTTGTTTAAATACCTTAAAGCTGCAAGCAACACAGTGTTTAACCAAATTAAACGTATATGAAAATATTCCATCTCATGTGTTAGTAAAGGCATTATTCTGCAAAATGGTCAAACTTGTTGCCAATATGACATCAAATCTGTTTATAAGGACAAAACAAAAAGACAAAAAAGTGCAGATATACTAAAACTGGTGCTACAAGTTTAAAATATACCAAAAATTGAAGAATTTCATAACATGGACAGGTTTTGAAACAGTTTCTCTGACCTATAAGTAACAACACAAATCGTCATCTCATAGTACGCCCATGACGCTCAGCATCCCATTGAGTCCGGTGCCCGTTCTCACCTTCTAATTAGGGGAATCTTGTTGGCCCAGTTGTTAAAGGACCCGGAGAGGAACACCTCTTTTCCATCTCCAGTCCAGCGAAACACCGTTGGTCGATCAAGAGTGGCGTCTTTGTCTTCGACTTCTAAGTCTTGCTGCCACGCCAGGAACTCCTCTTTCTCTAAAGGAGCCTGAAGCAGACGTCAGAGCCAATAAATGTGATAGCTTACTCAACATTAAGACTCAGCCCGTAAAGACCCACAACACTTCAGTCTATGACCGTGACATTTTTTCTGAGACATCATACACACCTTCATATCTTCTCCATGGAAAATATCTGCATCCTCTGGGCTATCCATCAGAATTTTGGGCCTGTCCCCTTCCTTGATCCCCCGGCTGTCTCTGCGCTGAGCCTTCTCCCCATGGCCCATGGCAGCCCTCTCGCTGCTCGTGTTTCCCATGGCTTTGTCTTTTTGTAGCCGATCGCAAGGTCACTGTGTGCCGGCTGAGGTGAGAGAATCTAGTGAACCCAACCAGAAAACCACACTAACTTTTAAACAACAGACTTAATCATTAACGGCTAGCTGCAAGAACAACCTGTGGGAGAATGGAATATTAAGTGAAACAGAAGGTGCCAAAAACATATCAGAAGCTGCACTGAATTCTGGTCCGTTTGTTTTTATTATGGTTCTTCCTACGTCACGTGACAGAAAAAAAACATAGATGTGTGATCTTTCGAAAATGTTTAATTCAATTAGCTTTTTACATGAGTACGATCACAACAGGAACTGGTTTAGAAGTCTCGTTTTTCAGCACCCCGCCTAGACACGGGAGTAGGACAAGCACGTTATGAGATGCTCACATAACATTCCTCCCAGCGTGATATCTTATCTCCACAAAAGCCAACTGTGTTTGTGTGATTGCACCACGCTGCCCAGAGCAGCTTTTGCTGGATTATTGGTGACCGTTTATGAGGCACAATACAGTTAAGACTTTAAAAAAAATAAAATCCCTGACCACCAAAAAGCCTATGAGCTTACATTCCTGACACAGACGTTTACAAACAAACACTGAGAGGATCTTAACCTGCTTGGGATCTATTACTCTGCAAAAATAAGCAGTATAAAATAATAACATCAGACTGCTATGGCATTAGTGACTTATTACATGCTTCTGGTGGCAAAACAAACAGGTCTACAGTCAAATATAAATAAAGGAGGCGCCTTATACTCTCCAATGAGGTCTTTATTTTGGTCTAATAAAAATGTAATAACATAACGATATGGGTCAACAACACAGCTATCATTCCCGAAAAACGAAAGTGAACAACTTTAGGTTTTCGGACTTATTAAAAATGAAATAGGTCGAGCCTTTACACTCCTTTAGGGTAGTGTTATGTAATGTACAAGTGCTGCACATCACTGATGATGCTTGGTTAAATATTTCATATTTTCCATCGGATGATGAGGCATTTCTGAAACGATTCAAATAACAACCCAGCCTCCCTTTGCACCACTCGGCTCAAATCTACTAGAAAAAAACGGGAAGGTGACCATATACATCCCCATCACTGTTCCCTTAGCATGAACGCGTCACTAGCTCGGGCAGAGCAGGTAAGAGCTAACCTCCCATCTTTTCCCGGAGCAAGCCGTGTAGCACCTAGCATAGCCGGGTTGTTTTTCCCGCTGTCCGGGCGTCCCGAAAACCGTACGAGCGTTCCTGGCCGCTAAATGCCGGTGTGTTGCCGTTACCTGGGGAAGGTCCGGCGTCGCAATTAACGGTCTGAGGTCGTCGACTCCATTTCTGCGGAGCCGAAAACATAATATCATTCATAGACCCGCTAAACAAACCCGCCCCCGTTCGCTCATGCGCACATTGCGCGGAAGATTAAAAAAAAAAAAAAAATGAGAAAAATGTATTGGATAAAGAGAATATTTTTTTCCAGAAAATTCAACCCTGACTTGATAATGTTTAATCATTCTCTTCTGAACATGCTGTGGCACGAAAACAGATGCACGTAATCTAGTTTTGTGGTTATTTTATGAGCGAGATGATACAGTATTTTCGTTTTTTGCGGCGCCGGCTGTAATGTTACAGACTCACCACTAGATGGCAGTATTGGTCAGGTAGAAAACAGACGTTTAATAATGATCATAATAGTAAAAAATAAATAAATAAATAAATATAAAAAAATAAATTAAAAAAATAAAAAATAATAATAAAAAAAATAAATTAATAATAATAATAATAATAATAACACATTTTATTTTTGAAAAAGTGCCTTTCATGCCACTCAAGGACACTTTACAGAGACCATCATCATCAAAACTACATCAAAACATAATAAACATACAATAAACACATTTTAAACATCATGCATGAATAAATAAAGGTGCAAATGAATACAACCGTGCAGAATGAGGTGAATGTTAGAGTTAGGGGTGGTGAAGTGGGTAAGCCATTTTAAACAGGTGGGTTTTGAGTTTTGTTTTGAAAAGAGAGAGAGAGAGTCGGTATTTCGGATGTCAGATGGCAAAGCGACGGAAAGCTCCGCTCCCCATGGTGCTGAGGTGAGCAGGGGGCACAGTGAGGGGGAGAGAGGAGGAGGATCTGAGGAGGTGTGCTGCTTGAGGTCAGACAGGTATGGAGGGGCAAGGTTGTGGATAGCTCTGAAGGTGTATAGAAGGATTTTGAATTGGATTCTTAGAGTGACTGGGAGCCAGTGAAGTTGCTGTAGGATGGGGGTGATATGGTTAGAAGCAGGGGTTTTGGTGATGACATGTGCAGCAGAGTTTTGGACCAGTTGGAGCTTATGGAGAGACTTGTGAGGTGGACCGAAGAGAAGGGAGTTGCAATAGTCCAGACGGGGGGTATGCATTATAAAGAAGCAATTGCTACTATTATCTCTGGCATTTTGCTTCTTTATACAGTTAGTTTATTTCACTCTGTTATTCACAAAGATAGTGCATTGAACAGTGATGTCTTTCAGTTGGCGTCCAAAACTAAATTTAGCCCCACGACAGCGGAGGAAAACAAAAGAAGCTTTGTGCAATTCGCAGTTTGTTCTTCGGTTCATTAGTACACAAGCACTCAGTGCAACTTGCCCTTTACACAAAGTAACATTCAACAGTGGCCATTTGTTAGAATGTATTCAGACACTGTCTTTGAAACTAAATGTATCCTTTCCTAAAGCTCTTGTGGTGACATTTATACTGAGCATATGAGGCCAAGATGCTGTTATTATAAAACACTGCTATGTTGATTTGAACTATTATCAGTTTTTCTACCAATATCTTTGGTATTTCAAACCTCAACTTATTATCCATTTATTTTTATTTTACATTTTATGTTTCATTGTATCATTATGCTGAGTAAAGCTGACTTTTCATAATTGGTTTGGCCTTCTTCACCCCATTTCATGACTTTACTCAGTTTGATTTTCTTAAGATTTTTCCACAGATTCAAAACAGTTAATGATGTTCTCCCAGAAAAACATAACCCAAATCACAAAGTCAGTGGATGCTGATCACTTAATGAGTAGCTTAAATAAAGTAAGTGAGAAAATAAGTTGACTTTTTTTTAATACATCTCCCACAGTCCCCTCATCAGAAAGATCCCAGCATGCACAGCTCCAATAATAAGCCTGGTGTCACTAGAATGCTGTTCACAGATGTTGGTCCACAGCAGGTGTTTAATTATGGAGTTTCTGTCTTCATGCGTTTTAGTTCAACCAGCTTCCATTGGTTGATAGCAGCCAAGATTTACTTAGAGTCCTTTTTCACCCTGAGACAATTTTTCTGGCCACAAAAAAGAAAGAAACTATCTTAGAGGTAACTGGTTCGTGGTCACTGCAGAGACACAAAAAGATATTTACCTTCCTAGAAATATGAACAGTTTAAATCTGTCCGCGGAGTCTTACCTGTATTCAAGAAACAAATGTGAGGCCATCTGACATCTGTCTGACTTTAAGACATGTGACTCCAAACCATATTGAATTAAAGCAACAACCACAGTGGCCACGGTCTCCCTGAACCATGCTCAGACACGATGGGAGAGATCCCATTGCTGGTTCTATTATCACTCATACCTGCCGAGTGAGGCCATCACACAATAGCCGGTAGCTCGCTCTAAAACGCTTTCTGTTGGACACAGGGCGAGCTTTGTGTGGAGCCCCTCTGGGCAACACTCGGGGAGAGGGATGACTCACTCGTCTGTCAGTGGCACATTCACAGCTGACACCTCTGACACACTTTTTTCAATGCCATCCTCTACAGGTGATAATGAGTAGTTTGTTTTTACTGACACATACAGGCCCTTTCCAAATGGAAAGTTGTTCCATCCATCCATCCATCCATTATCAATACCGCTTATTCCCTCATGGGGTCGCGGGGGAACTGGAGCCTATCCCAGTGGTCAACGGGCGAGAGGCAGGGTACACCCTGGACAGTCTGCCAGTCCATCGCAGGGCCACACAGAGACACACAAGGACAAACAACCACTCACATTCACATTCACTCCTAAGGGCAATTTCCCCAATCTCCAATCAGCCTAACATGCAGGTTTTTGGACTGTGGGAGGAAGCCGGAGAACCCGGAGAGAACCCACGCAGACACAGGGAGAACATGCAAACTCCACCCAGAAGGGCCCTGGTTCACCCGGGATTCGAACCCAGAACCCTCTTGCTGGGAGGCGACAGTGCTAACCACCACACCACCGTGCCGCCTCTGGAAAGTTGTTTCATTTCCATAATTCTATTTAAAAAAGGTCAACTTTCGTAGATTATAGATTCAGGGCCCATAATTTGAATGATTTCAAGTATTTATTTGTGTACCCTTTTCCAGGCAAGACTTTTATTCATTTATCTATTTTCAATTGCTGGTCTTAATCAACATGTTTTGTTTTTAAAACCAAGTTGATTATTGCAAAAAGGGAATGGTCTTGTCAGTCTTGATATCCTTTATTGAGAATTCTAAAGTATGGTAAATTAGGTATATATTGGGTGGAATTCTATAATATACACATAAATAATTTGATTAGAATACTGTGAATGTGTTACAATTTGAATTTCAGCTCTTCAGAACAGAATTGTAATCACATTTCACTTTGAAAGAAGCAAAACTGATTTGAAAAAAAAGTCTGACTGTGACCGTTTATAAAGAAAACTTAACAGGACAACCAGATGACTGTAACAGCAATGATAGGGCAAGAACTAAGAGACACTGAGAAAGAGCCTAGATACTGTGCGGGGGAGCTGATTATCGACTGAATGCAGCAGAGGACAACTGACAATTGACGGGCGAGGCTGTGGAGCTAATGACCAGAACACCAGGGAACGGACTGAAACCACGGACGAGAGACTGGAACAAGAAACTCACATAACAGGCCCAGAAATAACAAAGACAATCCATGAAAGCTACCATAAAAGCCAAGACTGTCGAAACACAAATAACCACAGATCATTGCACCATCTGTCCACTTTTCAGATAGAAATGGGGTTTCATGTGTACATTTTGTGTCATTTTAACAACCTCTTTAGTTCACAGGGTTAACGTCCACTCTGGTCTGAGTCCATCAAAATCAGGATGGTCACCTTTGTTGCTATGGTCATACTTAAATGGACCAATCTGGTGTTGATGTGTGGGGGGGGAAATATTCTTTATAAGCTTCTATTAGGGGATTGTCATCTTCCTCATCAGACTAGGGGATTTTCAGATTTAGGCATTCGAGTGAGATAACCATGAACTATAATTCCGCTTCACACTGGACTCATCACTCCATGTGTAAATAATTTGGTCAAGAACATGATCATTGAATTCGTTATGAAACAATTACATAACGTCTTCATCTGAAGTTTTTCACTCCCACACTCTGTCTGTTTTGTTTCCTCCAGCCCATCACGTTGACCTCGCATTTAACATTTGGGGGAGTGAAATTAGTGGCCATCTTCCATCAACAGATAGAAAAAAGAAGTAGCAGACACTGTCTGACGGCAGACTTTTTCTTTTGGGAGAAACAAGCCTCACAGCACAAATCATCCTCCAAAATTTCTAAGAAACATATTCAGTTACTAACGGCAAACCACTAGATGATTTAACACCTTTGGATGTAAGTTTTCTAGTTTTGGAGGGTAAAAGAAACACTGGCCTCATTAACTACTGCTAAATGTCTACTTGTGGGTTCTTAACACCTTCAGGACAGATAATTAATGTTGCATAATTTCACAGAAAACCTTGCCAAGATAGAACAGTTCATGTGATCCTCATTATATTTCCAAACTAATCCTTTTGTTCAAGCTATAAATCAGTAGAATCCGATATTTTACCTCGATTATGTTTTTCCTTTAGTTTTTATAGTTGAAAAAAAACTGGAAACAGGACACAAACTCAAGACTTTCACAAGAGTCTAAACGCCATGCATTTATTTCAGCACTGTGAAACATCCCTCTGAGCAGACAGCTTTCAAATCATTACAATATTTTATTCACCATAAGGACCTGACATCTAACCCTAATTTCATGGCATAAACACTACACAATGTCTTATTTGTTATAATACATTTCCAGTGAATCGTAGGGTAGTCGATAATATATAGGTTTCGTAGAATTACAATCATTTTTTTTCCACAAATATTTTTAAGTGGTGCCTCTGTATTTAAGGACAGAGAAAAATATATGTCCCACATCTCAATGCTTTTCAGTACTTTATTACAGTGGTTACGTCACACAACTCTATCTAATTCTCACAGTGCAAGTAAAGACATTAGAACAACGCTTGTGTCCACCTTGTCATGGTGCATCTTGGAGAACCTTGCATACTATATGACAATATCTAATTTAAAATGCCATATAGCATGCATTCTGTGTGTGCGTGTGTGTGTGTGTATTTGCATACATACATATACATATATATACATACACTTTCAGGGTTAGTTTTCATCAACATAGCCATCATTTTTCAATGGTTAACATTTAAAAAGAACATGGATTATTGGATGAAAATGGGAGAAACAGAGAATATATCATAAGATACAGGAATAAATACAGCTCTGTAATGCATAATAATTTATAGTGTTATGTGCCGCGGTTATTGTAATATATAGTATGCAGATGGCTTTTATTCTTGTTTCGTGTTTGTTATTATAATGGCAGCGGTGGGTTTTATATCAGGGATCAAAAAGTACCCGTGCTGAAGTCGTATATGCCCTCACGTACAGTGATGAAGATTTTTGACGGTTAAACACAATCCCATTGCTGTAGCATGAAGTTATTATTAGCACACGATAAAGCTCAAAGAGAGGAATACTTCAAAGAGTTACAGTCTGTCATGTTAATTTACCCCTTTTGACAAGTTGTTTTATGTGACTTCCACAGCTTCAGCCCAGCTTCCTGTCTGAATATGATGATACAGAAACTTCAGAAACATCACAACCCGGCTAATATTGAGTGGGCAGCTGTCTTTAACCATCCCATCTCGCAAATACGGTTGGAAACTATCAGGGTTTTGAGTCAGGACCCGTGACAGCACCAACGCTTGCATTGTCAGTGTGTCAGTCATCGTGTGTGTTGTCAGTGTTTGTGGTGTCATGGTGGAGGAGAGATTTCCGTCAATGGCTCGATCTAGTCCCTTTAAACTAGTTTTTCCTCAGCCGCCGTTCCTCATGTCACCGTGTCAGCATGTTCCGCCGTTCCCCGCTCGTCTGTGCCTTGGACTGCATCGTGCTCCCCCTCCCTGCCGGCAGTGGAGGGTCCTGGACTATAGAGGCAGCCGGATGTGCATGGCGGAGCTATTGGGACGTGCGGCTAACATGTAGATGGCGCTCTCTCTTAGAAAGTCTGCCCAGGTTACTGGCCTGTTACATAAAAAAAGGGACTTTAGAAGTGGTGTTTAGATTTATGGCGGTATAACATCACAATGATAACACAATTTCTGCATTTTCCTTCATTAACTCATTGGCTGCCAAAGACGTCTATAGACGTCAATTCAAATACAACCGTTGACTGTCAAAGACGTCTATAGACGTCTTTTATGTTTTTCAACGCGAGTGGCTTGGGGGACGATCTGCTAAAGCTTGTCGGTAAATATCAGGCTTCTAGACAGGGTATGTACTAACAAATTGACCCTCTCCCTTTGATGGGAGATGAGCATAGATTGTAGGCAAATAAGAAAAACGTAATGGTTCGCTATGCGAGAAATGGCGCCGGTGAGACGCAAGTTGAGGAAGAACGGAATAAGGTAGAAACAAAAATGAAAGAAGAGAGTTTACTCTTTCCTTTGGTGTGTTCGGTGTTTACATAGTCATAGCACAAACTATTCTGTGGCTCTTGAAAAATCAGTCAAAATGCTCAAAAAACTCTGGCAGTATGGGATTCTCTGTTCTGAAAATGGCTGGCAGTCAATGCGTTAAGAAACCTGACACATCTGTTTTTTTTGTGCTGTATACACGCATATTATGTTTCTGTAAGAGAAAAAAAAGGGCTCATCTGCCTTTACTATTTCATTGTAATGGCTCTAAAATGCTTTTGGAAATCCTGCCAAAAAATAAGCATGGTTTGTGAATCTATATTCAACTTATTTTTGGTCTTCCGCAGCTTCCTGTACAAAAATGGTACCCTGTGATCAGCTGGTCCCTTTTTGCAAAATCAATGAATCCGGCGTGTAGAAAAGTACAAACAAGTCACCCTGTGATGTGAAGGACTAGTTTCTATTCAGGTGACAGCTCTATAAAGATTATGAAGTCAGCCAAGCTTGAAGCTGGCAGTTCATCACTGTCCCTACGGAGGCCTTCCGGGCTGAACCTCTTCACTCAGAATGAATATGTCTGCCCAAATATAGAGGTACAACGCTAACAGAATCAACACAGCGTTTTTTAAAATGTTAGCACATGAACTGTGAGAAAAAGGCCTTCCATTTTTACTTCATATTTAATGGGGTTATTTTGACCGTTCAGTATGAATTCGCAATAAGAGGACAAACCTGCTCTCATCCGTCTTGCTCTGTTCGCTCCCGGAGCTGGCGGGACTGCTCTCACATATGGGGCCCACGTGACTTATACTGGACCAAAGAGCAGAGAGGAGAAATCCGTTCACAACAGTTAGTATAAACAAAGACAGCTCTTTTTGCTTAAAACGACAAAAACAACTAAAGTGATAAATCGTCAAAAGAGAAAATGCATAATGTTCATTCCACCTTCAGTATGTGTTATCTCAGTCTACTAAATGTAAAAAAGAGTTTTGTTTGTTTTGCTTTTTATCTTTTATGCCCTAAGCAATCCAAATAACTTGATTGTTCTGGCTTAACTTCAATAATAAAGGATAAAATGCTGTGGGCTGTCTTGTCAGTCTGCACACTCTTTCTGCTTTGGCAGTCATTATGGTGTCAGAAGAGGTTATGCTGCTTGTGGTTATAATATATGAAAAAGGTATCTTTTCCAGAAACAAATCTCCTGGGGAGGAACAATAACTGCGGTGGACATCCACGTGAATAAAAATGAAAAATCTTCTCTTGAGAAATGACTTCATTTTGTGAGCCTCTGGGATACTGTTTTATATCTGGGAAGTTGCTGCTCAGGGATGGGATGTTCATCTTTTTCTCAATCGGTTGGAAACAAATGGTGAGTTGTGTCATTGATATCTGTGTTAGATCAGAACTCATCCAATTTCCTTTACCTTTTAAATTTAACATCTTCTATATGTAAATAAAATAAAGAGAAGTAACTCAGATATTGTAATTGCTATGCTGGCAGCATACATCCTGATTCCCCTTCAGAATTTGGAATAAGATCAAATTCAAACGATAAACGCCAAATAGGTGGAGCATTTTTTTATTATATCAATCACTTAGATGAAGAGGATATATTAGACCCTCTCTTGCTTGGCTTATTTTGCCAAATAACTTACGAATAAAATTACAGTTCCTCATGAGCTATTATTGGTGGGTTTTGTTTTAATCTGCTTATTTTGAGTGAGTCCAGTGAGTAATTCCTCAAAAGATACCCACTCTCATTATCTGAATCCAGCAATATAAGGATATGAAACGTCTTAGACATATTTCTATGAATGAAGATGCATTACAGTGTTAAGTGTGGAGCGGCAGGATATTGGCACAACTTCTAGCTGTCCACCAAGTCCTCCATTGAGGGAAGCTATTAAACAGAAACCCTTCTAACGAGAAAAAAAGGCTTCTTTTGATCCCCGTAATTGGGAAGCAGCCTCAATCTTATCCCTGGCCTCACATAACAAGACATGAGCATATGAAGAGCTGTCATAAAACTTCTTCCAGGGAGTCTTTGGCTGATTTATGCTGAGTGCTAGCGTGAGTTTTGATGAAAAAAGGGGCTCAGACTTATTAGTTTCTTTCAAATATCTAAATCAGGTGTCTGAGAACGGCTAAAGACTGCAGAGCGCCCGAGGCTGTTAAAGTGAAGAGAAAGAGACGAGCCATGCGGTGCTGAGTCACACTCACCCACAATACATAGGCGAGCAGATTTCCATGAGTCTGTGGGGGATAGGTGAGAGGTATGGGATGGTGCACAATAGGAGATTTGACACAAGAAGTTAAGCGGTAGACAAGCACATGCGCACAAAAACACAGCGGGAAGGAATGTGAATCTATGACACACCAAATGTAAAAACGTAAGAATGAGAAAGGAGAAGGGTTTATGAACCACGATCCATGGCATTGTGCAGGCTAAACCTTGTTTTTTATAAAAGTGCCTGTTTGATGATGATACTACCGAGACTAAATGCAAATACCTGGGACTTTGTAGTATTTTTTACTTTGATAAACCTGAGCAAATAAGTAGAGAGGGATTAGAGAGAGGGATGTCTCAAAGACTTAACAATACAGAGGCCATAAAGGCTACTTTTAATAATTGGTTTTAAAGATTATAATGTTAACCTTTTGACATGTTTTTTTTCAGGGAGGTAATGAATGACGCTATACTTTGTTGGGATTTTAAGTCAGATTTTTCTTTTAATCTGTTTCCATCAAAAACGTTCCATAAAAGTGGATTCTTTATCAGGCTACCCGACCAGATTGCCTAAAACGGGACATCATTTTGCATATTATAAAAAGCCGGCACCCTAACAGGCATGTACTTCCTGCCTCCATTCAGATTGGCACCCGCCTCAAATTTTGATGCAGCTTGCAGTTTATGATTATAATATCAAAGTTAAAAGCCATTGCGTGTCTTTTGATTTGCCAAATTTGTTGATGACTGTGTTGTTTTGGCCGCTGTTGGTGTGTGAGAATTAATTGCTTTCCACTTGGGTCATCACACCAGATGGAAACAATGCCCTGGATTCTTCGGTTTTCTGTTCAAGGGAAAATCTGCTCTGCCACAGGACAGAAAAACAACATCATTTGGCAGTCTGCTTTACAGTTCATGTTGACCAGTCTTGCATTTTTGGGGTCGACTTTAACAAGAGCTGTATATTCTTTTTGAGGTAGTTGACTGTGATAGGACACAGAAAAGGCAGATCTTTAAACAGACTCATGGAACTTTGTTGTCTTCAGTGTCCTTTGCTGCCAGGGAACATGTTAAATAATAAATGCTCTCACAAGCTCACAGTCATCCCTCTGTTGCGTGAAGTAATTATTTTTGCTCTATAGCTCCCCTAACGAGACAATGAATTATAAGTTATCTTTAAAATAGTTGGAAGAAAAGTAGGATGATAGAAAATGAACCAACAGCAAACGGTACAAAGTGAATTAAATGTCTACTTATATTTATATGTATGTGTATATATATATGTATGTGAGATTGTGTGTGTGTGTGTATAAAAAAATCATGAAAATTCTTAGTTTCAATAGGCAATTTGCCATTTTTTTATGCATGAGTAGCATTAAATTACTCTCAAGTCATTGCTTTGAGAGCTGAATTCTTATGCAGTATCCAAGAAAGGATGTCGCATACTGTGGAGAAATTCCTGTGTCTGTGATGTGGCAACATAAGCCGACACGGTGATTCATGTCCAGTCGATGAAGCATATGTTATGAGAAAAGAGACCTGCTGATTATCTCGCTTCTACTACCTCTTTTCTATAAGCGGCCCAGATTATTATTTTTTTTGTTGTGTGCTTCATACAGCTGCTGTCTGCATACAAATTAGATCCTTGTCCCCCAAAACTCCTTCCGTTAAAACTAACAGGTGCTGTCCTTACCTCACGTTGCAGGATTGAGAGTCTTTGAGCTTGTGGAACCAGGACTGCTGGGCCTGGCGACATTCTGCTCTCGTGATCACACCGTCTTTCTCCAAATCCAGGAACACTGACCTTGCCTTGTCTCTTTCCTTTCCAGTCAACAGACGGACCAGGGAGTTCTAAAAATAACCCACCAAAAGAAACAGATCCAACATTTTTCATTCAACACACGATGGCCTGGATGTTCACCCTCAAGTACAATCGATTAATTCTATTCACATTTGAGGATTACTACTGTTGCCATTACAAATATACCGCAATGGTATATTTTGGATTGTTCGACCTGTTATTCATTAAAATTAGCACTGTTTGATAAACTACACTGCTTTATTCCGCACAACTCCAGAGACACACAAATACTCCCAAAGTCATTCAATAAGGACAATATTAGAGCAGTAACCAATGACAACAAAATGAGACATCCAAAATAATTGATGGTTAAAGTATCTGTCTTTACTTTAGATATATGAAATCAATGCATCTACAGTCAAGTAAAGTAGCGAATACACCCTCTTAAAGGTTCATATGTATTAGAACCTCATCAGTGTATTAAAGAACTTCCTTTGATACAGCAGTTTGTAGAATCATGTTTAAAAGCAATACACTGAAGTAGGGCTTTTTAGTTTTTGAATATATTATCAGCCTCTGTTAATGTTACAAAGGAACTTTGACCCAGTCAGCCTGACAGCACTGTTCCAATTCATAGTTGGCTTTTTAAATGAGATCGGCTCTCATGGTGTGTGTGTGTGCGACAGCTCTGCTGAATGGCATGGACTGACCCGGTCAACCCCAATTCATCCATGTCATCCACGGTGTCTGCCTCCTTGAGATCAGTAGTACTTATTAACACTTATTATATATTAATAAAAGTCCATTTTATAATTCATTTTAAAATACTGGCCGTTGGTTTTTCTCTGTGTGGCCCTGCGATGGACAGCTACCTGTCCAGGTTGTACTCCGTCTCTTGCCCATTGTCAGCAAGGATAGCCCCCCCTCCGTGACCCCGTTAGGAAAAAGCAATATAGAGAATGGATGCATGATTCCTCACTATATCAGCAGGTCAGAAATCGTTCCTCACACACTTCCACACTCCAGGTGACTGTTCCTTTCAGACACTAGTCCCCAAACTTTGGAAAACTGCTCCTCCCTCATTAAGGCCCTTTGAATCTTCTGACTTGTTTTGAAGCGGCTGATAACTTTTAATTTTGACTAATTTTAGTTAGATAATTGTGAATTTACCTATGTCTCCATCTATAATTATTCATTTTTTAAATTGTGTTGTCTTTTATGATTTTGAATTTTTATATTTGATGATTTATTTGATAAGTTTTTATTTTTTTCCCATTAATTTGTGTTATTAGTGGTGTTATCTTACAATTGTTTTAATACATTTAAATGTAAGTTCAATTCAATTAATTTTTATTTATATAGCGCCACATCACAACAACAGTTGTCTCACAGCGCTTTCCAAACAGAGCAGGTCAGACCCTCCTCCGAAGTTAATTACAGAAACCCAACAATTCCCACCATGAGCAAGCACTAGGCGACACAGGCAAGGAAAAACTTCCTTTTAACAGGCAGAAACCTCAAGCAGAACCATGGCTAAGAAAACTGATTATAAAACTTGCCTACTTGTGAAAGGAAATAACATAAAGCAAGTGGCTAATTCATAATACTGTCATCTAAAGTTTGGCTAGTAGGCACTGATTCCTTTTTTATTTATAGTGCTGTTGAGAGTTAGGTGTATTCATGAGCCAAGTTTGGCAAAGCTTTAACTCACAGACAGAGGACGTCACATTTGGCTCTAAAATGTGTTTGTGAACAGATGATTTCATGATGAACTGTATCTAAGAGTGGGTTTGATTTGTTTATGCTGACAAGCTGCAATTGGTTGCTAGCAAACACTGCACTGTGAATTATTTCCAAGAATCTTAACATTGGTCTCATCGATCCAGATGCATGCCGTTATATTCCAACTCAATCAAATGGCGTACCTCGGTGCGGAACTTCCTCAAAACGGTCAGCGACTCAAAGTAGAGAAAGTCTGACCACTCGATGTGGCCTTTCTTTTCCGGATCCAGAGCAGCAAACTGGGCCAGTACTTCCTCCTCCTGCTCATCGGTCAGGTCCTTCTCAAACTGCTGCTTGGATGCATAGTGGCGGTACTGCAGCAGCTCGTCTGACACCAGGCACGACTCTACAACAGCAAGGAACAATTCATCACCTCAGAACAAATTAAATCTCTGCATCCGGATATAATTAGCTCGTGATGACTCATCTTTAACAATAATTGGCCTACCCCCCCACTGATTGCGGTCATGCCGAGCCATGGAATGTTAAGACAACTTTGGAAAAAGACGAGATTGAGGGCAAAGTGGAACCGGCAGAAAACTTTTGAGCGTCTTTGTTATATGTTTTATTGGGTGTTTGAACATTTCTATTGAACTGTAGTTGAACAACAGCAGAACAATTGCTGCAATAGCGGTGTACTCGTAAGATCTAGAGTAATGGCAATGCTAATAATACTGGATAACTAAGCCAGCAGATTTTTTTTATGTCATGTCACATGTGTTGTTGAATTCTTTGGTGTAAATTCATGTTTTTGTCTATACCATACCACTCAAAGTGTCATTTGCAATTTCCAGATAGACGACCACACCACAAAAGCACTACTCCAAAATCACAAGTGTACAAATATACCTGGAATCAGATAAGATAAAATGAGGAAAGTATTTATTGGGAGCAGGTTTCCACACATATTGAAGTCAGAATAGTTCCTGAGATATGCTATTATTATCATTTTTGCTACTCCTGGCGTCTATACATCCCCCCTTCTACTCACAGATGCTGAAGATCTGGAGCCCATCTATTTGTAACATATCTAATAACATATCTAATCAGGCTGCCAGTGTTAGCTTTTATCATAACAAATTAACATAATGGAGTCACTGTGCAAATTGACTTTTACTTAAAGATGATATTGGAAGACTGATCAGTGCTGCCAAGATTATTGAAGACATGGAGACTCTACGCTAAAACGTCAGACAAAGAAACCCAAATTACATTTTTTCAACATCTGCTGTGGTTTACCTGGGATGATCTTGCATTGCTTGAATGTCTCCATGAGACTGTACATCTCCTCTTCAGTAAGAAGTAGATTCAGATTGTCCTGCATGGTAGAGAAGGATTAGATTACTTATTTTCCCAAAAGTCAGTGACACTGTAAGTAGATAAACAAAATACATTTATAAGTTGAATTACTTGTAGTAATTCTAGATGGTCCTTCTTTGGAGTTTAAGTAAAAAATAACCATGCTAAGTCCATCTTTTTAAAATGATGTGACACATTATAGTCCATTTCCACAAGAAAAAGTTTTTCTCATTGCCAATTAAAAAAAAAAAATTCCCTGTTGCAAACATCTAATTAAATCAGGAAGACAAAAGTTAAATTGTAAATTAGAACACATGTGCACGCTAATAATATCTCTTAGTCTCTAAGGTGTTAGAGAAGGGAGAAAAAAATCCATGTGTAACTTCTCTCTCAAACTTTCCCAGAATGAAGAGAGCACTGGAGGCAAGGTGAGGTACAGCGTGTTGGCCAATGATCGTACCACAATCATCTATAATTCTGCCACCTTACAGCTTGTGAAAATAGGAAATTACACTCCGACGACCGCAGTTTGAAAGGTAGATATGTTTGATACAAAGAAATCAATACATGTATGTATCCTCAGACTGGACATCATTCCGTAATAAAAAAAAAAACCCTCTGATCAGTTTGGACCCCCCTCGTATTCAGTCCTTAGAATATCTGAAAACTGTTTCTATTGATATTATCTCCAACTTATAGCCTTTGGATTCGGATGAATTCACACAGTAGTGTTGAAACATTTGACTGTTTAAGCCATTGAAATCAAATTGAAATCAAAGATATCAGGCCTTTTTTAGCTAGAAGTGTATTGAAAAAGTTTGGTTTATTCATTCAACGTCTGTCAGATGCAAAGTCAAAGTTTAGGATTGGTACCTCGGGGATCCACTGAGTGAACACTCCAAAACATCTTGGACTAAAAAAGGGCACATATTAGAAAATGTCTGCTTCTATACTAAAAGCCCAATTTGGTAAATTCAGATGATGTAGAGTGGTTTATTTCAATTAGTGTCAAGGCATTCCTAAATTATTTCAAGACTTTAAGAGACACCCATAAAACATATCTTGTCCAACCAGCCATCCATTACTGCTCCCCTGCTCCATCTTCCTGTACAAATATGATAACTTCACACTCTAGAATAGTCAGCAGGCCTCAAGTCATCTACTGAGGTTAAGGTTTTAAGGTCCAAAACAAAGTATATTGTTGGGAAACGTTAATCCTTTCAGGTATTTGCAACTTACAGAAGCTTCAGCTAGCTCCAGCAAAGTGACTAAAGCTTTGGGTGGTTTTGTGTTATCAAGTATGTGCTTTTTTCTTATGTTTTATTGTTGGTCTTGTTCATAAGATTTAAGGTCAGTAATCTACTCAATTTAATTTTTGTTTTGCGTTTCTATAAGTTCTGTTTTTGCACCAATTTAGCCCCTTATATGCTCTGTGTTTAAATTTTCCTCCCGTCCTTGTTTAATACCTTGGTTTAATTCTTGATTTTCACTGTGAGCTAAACTGCCTCAGCAGCTCTCCAGGTAAAGTTTATACAGAGTATAATTTCTCATTTCATCATCTCAGAGTCTGCATGACGGTCATTCCTATTTCCTTTCCTTCCATAATCTGGTATTTTATTCCGAGGGCTGTTCCAAAGTCAACCATTAAATTAAATATCGAATCAGGACAGTAACATCTGTCTGCAAAATTCAGGTTTGGGACACAGTTTCATTTCACAAAAATGTTTTCAATTTAGGAACTATCACTACTAAGCTTTGAGCGCAGACGTGGAGGGGAATCAAACCTCCAATTCTTCCATCCAGATTATCTTGCTCTTGTCTAACAAGAGCAGCTTCCAGGCTTTTGGTGGTCAAAAGTAAACATGAAGAGGAATAAATCTGCAGAGTGATGGACGGAAGTCTTTTTATCTGGTGTGGGAGACATCAAGCTGTCAGTCATATTTCCCATCACTTATAACTCTAAAAATGCAGTAATTCACCTGTAGTTATTGGGTAACCATATCATATTACTTTAATTTTAATTGCATTATGGTGTACTCGAGTGAAGTTAAATGCAATGCTTTTCGTTTTAGAGGCTCCGATTAATTTCTGTCAAATCTGAAACTCATCCTTAAAAATACACTTTCTCAGGAGGGGTTCATAAAAAGATAAATCCATTTATCTGTGTCATTTAGAATCCTCAGGAACAAAACAAATGATTATACTATCATCATCATACTGCTTCCTCTGCCAAACATCATTTTCTGTGCCTCTGTAATCTAATAGGTTCATCAGCCATCGCCTAGCAACATCAAATATCTTTGAAACGGTCAAAGTCTCCAATTAAAATGGATCCTTGATGTCGTTGTGTGTGTGTCGGATGTATTTAAACCAATCTCAACAAAACAGAAACCTCAAAATGGACTAAAGGGTTAATAAATCACCTACTAAAACTTCTGGAAAATACATTTTCTGGGGAACAAAAGGAAACTAGAAGAATGTAGATTGAAAATGTAAATTCTAGTATAATCATAGGCAGCTTTAGATGGTTTTTGTAAACAGGTTAAGGAATTTAGAAGACTTCATTCAGAATTCATGTGTGCACAAAGAAAAAGGTTTAGTTGAGTGTCCTATTGCTGTCTTTTGAGATTCCTCATCTCTGCCTGTCAACGCTATCCTCAATGACCTGAAAATTTCCTCCCCAATATCTTCTCCTAAGCTGCAGTATAACATGTTGTTTTATTTATTTTTTTCCACAGAAAAAGCTTAGACATGCAGACATCTCTAAAACCTGGTCAAAATGTTTTTTTAAAATTTTTCAAATGTTGCTTTATTTAGCTTTTCAGTCTGGACTGAAAGACGAGTGATCGTCTTCATCAAACTAAATAAAAATCAACTCAAATGTCTTCATATTCAGTCGTTTTATCGTTTTTATTTAATATTTTGGAGTTCACATTTATCAGTGCAGAGTCTGTTTAAAACACGTCGGCCTGCAGGGAGCTGATAAAAACCAAGAAGCTGTGTGCATGTGCGTGTGTGTGTATTTGTTTCCTGACATCAACCAAAGCAGCAGAGGTAACACACACGTGACCAGTTCTAAAAGCCAAGTCAAAGAAAAAGAAGACAGTGAAAAGTTAAAATTTCCCGATCAGGATGATCAACGTCCTGCAACATGAATTCAATTTTGGGGAGTGCAATGTGATTTGCAATGTTGATAGGTATAGTATTTTGTCAATTTTTCCAGACTCATAAAGGAGGAACTTAACCATCTTTGAAATAGGCTATAGGATTCTGAGTTTGATTTGAATTTGAACTTTTTGAGTTTTTAAGTTCCTCATCAGAGCAATCAACTGGATTATTGGATTAGTTAAAAATATTCTGGATGTGCTATCGAGAACATGTGCTTCTTATTACTTAATATATTCCCAAATTTAAATCCACTCTCCAGTTAAGGCATAAACATGCTATTTATTTAGTTAAAATAGTGGAACTTTCTGGATGTTTGTTGAAACACCTCAGTCTTTTGCACACGACGGGGGCCAGCTGCGAGCGTCAAAATGAAGCCTGCGCTAAAAAGAAGTGGCATCTCCCTCCTCTGAGTGGCTGGGACCCAGTCATAGTTGCAGCGTTCCACTTTGAAAGGCTGACTGTAAATCCACTTTGAGAAAGAGCTCCATCTGCCAGCGGCGGCCTCTGGAGCTTGCGTGAAATGAAACATCAGATGTGACATAGTCAGGAGGTGGTCGGGTCGTCACATCTGACTGACTGTGGGCTAAAAAAAAATACAAATAAAAACAAAAAAAGCGGTTCCTTATTGCTAAGAGGACAAACATTTCAGTGTATGACAAATCTCTCTCTCTTAGTCAGTGATTTGTTTCCCTTCCGCCGGCCAAAGAACGATTCAGATTCTCTGAAAAAGTCCCCTTTTATTCATCGGTTCTGGCGAGTGATTTTGTTTTTTTCTCGGGGCTAGCAAAAGACAGCGAGGTCCACATTCCGCTTTGAAGAGTGCTTCACCGAAAGCACTCTTCAGCTGTTTACACTCGACTAAAAACAGCCTGCTCACAGGGTGATGATCACCGGAGAGCCGCGGGGTTCTGGCACCTGCTCGGAATTCTTGATGAACAGCTGTTGCATTGAGGATGTTGCTCCCGTTTATTTGGGCTCCAGCTGAAGCGGTTTAACAGTACGGCATGCAGTCGCACATTCTCAGCTTCCAGAGGTCCAAGTCAAGAGGACCATTCCCCTCGTCTTAAAGGGCTCTAACAGGCACATTTCAGCCTCGTGTCTCGCTCACTCTGAGTGGGTCGACTTCATGCTTTGCAAAATGACTATGTTTATGTTGCTAGGTGCTATGTCTGATCCTTCTCTGTAAAAAGCTACAATCAGCACTGTCTGTGAACTAGTCACCCACTGAAATGAGAACGGTCTAAAAATGTATGATCTAAAGGATTGCCATGTACAAAACTTGAAATCCTATTTGTACTTGAAACAAGTACACTTCATTTGATTTTGATGTTTCATTAAAACAAACCCTTTTTTAGACAATAGCAACTAATTATAGACAGTCCAAGAATATGACACATTCTTAAATGTTAAAATATAAAAACAGCAAGTTGATTTAGTAATAAGCTTTAGCTGAAAGCTGAAAATCATACCCAAATGTTTATCTCCTGCTAACTGTTTAGTAATAGCATCTTTTTTTAGGGATAAGCAGGAACTTTTAAATTATTCCAGTATAAGGCAGAAAGCATCAAGCAGGACTTTTCTGCATCTGCATCACACGTTTGGTCTAAAACCAGTCAATTTTACCAGTAATATGGGTTAAATAATTAAAAGCAGGACCTACTTTAGCATTTTAGACAACAGGGATAATGCGCTTTTACCTATTCAATTAATCTGCAGTGTTCCAGTATAACTTTAGCATTTCCAAGTCCATAACTGTTTCCAGATTATGTTATAATTTCCTTTTGCCACATGCATATCCCAGAAAAGAAGTTTGGAAATTCTCATGTCAACATTTTTATTGCTACCTGTTACAACCATCTTTGACCTCGTTAAAGATTAAAGATCTTTAACAAGATCTTTAGTATTTAATCGTTTTCCAAATGAAAAAAACATTTTGGATTCTGTTTTTGAAATAAAAAAGTATGGGAAGAAAGAAACCCAAACTATTTCTCATTGATTATTATCCAAAACTCAACCCAAGTCTTTTGAGAGAATTCCATTCTACCCAGAAGTCATCTATGTTTTCTATCATGTGTAGATTTGTAACATAATTCACAATTATGCTAAAGCCTGGCTTCCAATGGCTCCCATTGCTCCATACACAGTGAAATTGCCTTTCCCTGCCAGGTCCTGTGGTCTGTACTCAGCTCCAATTGTGTGCTGTCCAGATGAGCCATTACTGAACCAGGAATAGCTAATCTGTCAGCCACCAGTTGGTCCACCAATGTCTTACTGCTTATCTTTCATCTTTTAAGCATCAATGTCCAGTCAAGCCTGACCAGTATGGCCTGACTGTCCCAAAGACAACCCGCCAGCCAAGCAGTGAATTAGAGATAACCAGACAGCTCAATTCCAATCACCCGCACAGGCAATTTCCACTCACACCTCACCAATATATGACAACTATTCAGATTACACAATAAGGTAAAGTTGAATGGATTTTAGTTAAGCTGTTTATCTTCCACCAGCAGGACTATGAGAATAAAAACATACAATTGGGTGTAAAGGGTACATTTTACTAAGGTTTGAATTTGCTTTGCAAGAGAAAATCTCATGTAGATTTATAAAACACAATTGTAAATGGTATGATGACCATGTTGAAAGTAATTCAAATGAGGTTTATATGAAAAGGTGATGTATTACACCTCCATTACACCCGATCAGCTGAGAATGTCCCAGATACCAAAGATCACTCTATCACAGGAACAAGGACTAGTGTTAAGAGCAACAGTCCAACATGCTGGAATAGATTTTTTCACAGATACTGATGTTTAAAGACATCTGTTTGTGATACATTTGAAGAAATATGACATTAAATGCTTAAACATGTTAAAAAGATACAAGCAATGCATAACCTAGGCAGCTTTGCCAATCCATCATCTTGCTGAACATCTTGTTGCACATTTTCAGTGCATCCGAATTTAATGATTCAAGTTTCTATTCCCCAACAATGTGTTAATTCATTCAGAATCCTCATGGAAAAAGCCATTTGTATCTACAGATGGGCTCTCTTCATTGCAGGGACTCCATTTTGAACCCCATCATTTTGTGCATCTGTCTCGAATGAACGAGCCAGATGTTGCTAAATTGGGCTCATTCACAGTTTTCTACTGGCTTAATTGTTCGAGATTTGGGAGGATTCTTGCCTCCCGTGAACCGTTGACTAAATTGTGCCATTAGTCACTAAATGAGCTAATCTCGTTCCTGCAAATACTACCAAAATCCACGCAAAAATGTAAATACTAATACCCATATTGTGTATACTTGACTTTTCCCTTTACGTTGTTTGCATGTGAAAAGGTTGTATGGATTTTATTTTGTTGTTTTTGTGTCTGGTAAAGTGACATTGAGCTGTGTCGACTCACACAATAGTAGCAGCTCCAGCCAGTGACAGTGTGGGCTGTATCTCTCATCTCCTGTAAGGCCTCAGCACGCAGGTACCCCAACTCCCTGAGGCAGCCATCGTGGAACACGCGTGTGCAGATCCTGCAGGGGTACAAGTCATCAGCTGTCCACACCTCACACACGTCACACATCTCATCGCTCGAAGGCTGAAGGAGAAAACAGGAAACCTAAATCAGTTTGGGCTTACAGGAGTTCATTGTGTGGCAGCAAACCTACTTCCAAATTGTGAATAAGAATGACAAAGCAAATCCCCCACCCCCCTCTCCCAACTGTAATTTTGTGAATGTCAGTATTTGCCTGATTTTTCCATTTGCCTTCCATTTAGTCCGTCTGGAGTCCTGTTATCTGTGTCCGTTTCTACAACCCATTTATTTCCCCGACAGGTTTTGTTTCTTGGTCCAGAGTTGATGACTATGCCTGGCTCCATTCCCTGGTTATTGATTTCCTACAACCCTCCGTTAAGATTCTAGCCAAATATTTATTGTTTGCTATCCAGGTCTTTTTTGTCTTTCGACATGTCCTGACTATGGCTGACATTAATATATGCAAGTGCATACATTTTCTGAGGGAGCCCAAACATTAGGACTATCTCCTATGTCAATTTGAGAATAGTTAGACTACTAACTAATTTTTTTAGTGCAGGCAATATGTATGATTTCTGCTCTCATTGGCAGTAACAAGTGTTTATAGCCGTCCAAAAGCTGAACATCATAGAAAGGGAACAGACACAATATTTCATTCAATAGAATATCATCTCACATTATCAGTCTGGCATGGGATAATCCACAGTTTCGATGCATTAAATGTTTGAAGTTGAACATACTTGGATATACCCTAAAGAATTAAAAGCAAAAAAATGGAAACATTGGAAAGAAAATGGAATAGCAAAATAACAAAAACCACATTAGTTAATATGAAAAAGTGTAAAAGACATCAGGGGGACTAAACACTTCTAAATGCTATATTTATGGATATCACCTTTGAGAGGCATAAGAACGGAAAACATTTTAGTATGTTTCCATCCCTGTTGCAGCACATTTTTCCTCACTCGTGTATTTCAGTTTTGTGCGTATATTATGTTGCGGTGCCATGTTTATTCTGAAACCCGCTGCTGTTAGTCAGCATCACACTGGACACGGCCACCTCTCACAGCCAGGCAAAGCAGCCGGCCCACAAGATGCTCGCTGTGCAGAGTCCTCAAACGCATCAACACTACATCCCAGTCAGCGTGTGGAAATAACCAGCCGCCCGGAAAACAACTTCAAATTACTGCTTTGACACCTCCGCAGCCTCCCGGATGGCATGGAGAGGATGGCTGATGGGAGGGAGGTGTTCTTAGACAGCAGCTCTTCAGCGGTGTGGATTCTCATTGAATTTGCGTTTATTTACATTTCAAAGGCTTGGGGGAAATGTTCTTGTCTTATGAAGATAGTATTGAAGATAGGAAGGTCTGACAATGTTTACCAAGTTCTTGAACCTTAATAAGTTTATTGGACTTCAGTTGATGGTTATAGGTCAGGGAATGTAAATTTCTCTCTGGAAATGGCAGTGGATGTAAAGTCCTCCAACTCCTTCTTACTTAAGCAATCGGAAATTATAGGTCATCTTTTTATGGCTTTCTGACGTCCACAGAGCAGTTATAAAGATGTGGATTTTCTAAAATCAGGGGATATTTTGTCCATTGGCTAACTTTCACACATGACTTTTTCCTACTAAAAAGATCAATGACCCTTAATGACACAAAGGAAGTACTTAGTCTGAACAGTAGGTGCTGCCTTTTACTTAGTCAGCATTTTATGGGGCGTTCCAGTACCTGCTCTTTCTTCTCCAGCTCCACCTCTACAGGCTTGGCGTCATCGGCCTCCCGTTTGGGTCGCACGAATGCTGGAGGAGTGAGCTGATGGCTCTTGTCAAGATCCTCGGGTTCCACCCCTTTCCCATCCCGTAACCTGGACCAGGCCTCCTGGTTGACTTTGCATTCGTCTCTGACCGGAGCTGAGGCCTGCTGGGAGGTCGACGGAGCCACGTTATTGTCCGGCTCCTCCTCTTCCACCCCCTCGCTCTTTTTCTCCTCAGGACAGGCTGAGGTCTTGGCGCCCCCTTCACCTTCCTCCTCCTCCTCCCCCTCTGGTTTGACGGCGACGGGCCGGTCTTTGATGCCCGCCTGGAAGGCGGAGACCACCGCGTTGCATTTCTGCACCTTCTGCACCTGCTGCTTCTTTGACATGAGCACTCCCATGGCTGCGGAGATGCGGAGAAAAAGAAAAAGATCTGTTACGTCAATAGACTCCCAACCACAGTTCATTCAAACCAACATTTGTGACATAATTTTTTGTCTCACAGCACAGCACAACAGAAAATAAATCCACAGATGCCATCAGATCTGGATTCAAATGTTCCATTGTGATTGGTGAATAGAAGTAAATTACATAAACATGCGACCGACAACTTTCTGCCCACTTAGAATCTGTGAGGAATCTGAGAGAAAAAAAAAATCCCCTCATTAATAAGTCTGTTATGTAACTTCTGCAGATTCTGAACGAGGAATTTATCTGAATATCAAAGAATCTTATCTGAATCATCAATTTTACACCCAGTCATTACTTATAACCCAAATCCTTTTTTTCTATTTGCCACATTTCATTACCAGAAGCCAGTATTTCATGAAACACTTGAAACTGAGTATTATTGAATCACTCAAGTGGCCAATAAGTAGATTCAACGAAATATTCTAAATACTAACCACATATTTTAAATGTACAAACATGCAAATGCACCTCCTCATGAACAAAATGCACCAGAGATTTTGCAGATGCAAGAGCACAGAATGATGAATGTCCTAATGTGTGTTTCTTGCTGAAAATCCTTAACAATTCTGAGTCTTCACTTGCTGCACCAGTAAGGGAATTCTACAGTGTTGATTTATCAATAAGTCAGACATAGCCCCTAAAAAGGAAGGGGACAGATATCTGAGTCTCAAGTTTGAGAAATACTTTAGTCTTTAATCTTTAGACTCCATTGCTGACGTGCTTCAGGGTGACGCATTCCTTGACTGCTGATCAGAAAAGAAATATGCATATCCTTGGGTTCCAAATCCATTCCAAAGGCTTCAGACCAAACATTAGTTTGCAATGAGTAGTGAGGTCGAAAATCCAAATTATTCATAGTGAATTGCACAATCAGTATTTTAACAACTGGATAAATAATAGGCAGCCTTTGCTGTTTGGATAAACAGCTAAGCCCCGGATTTATAATCATATCAATTCGGTGTTGATGGAATTATCTCCTTGTTAAGCTGGAAAGAAACCAGCAAAGCGAAAACTTTTGGATGCTTTGTTGACATTTTTTACTTGAACTGTCATCTCAGAGTCAAATCCCCATGAAAAATGACGATCTCATTCACTTCATTCAAAATTGTCACACACTTTTTATCCTTAAACTTGATGTAAGTAACATATATTTGATCTTGAGGAGGCATTTCACATCCAACGCCCTCGCCTTAGCTGAAAAAAAAAATCGTATTTCAACGGCTCCACATTGGAAAATTAGATTTCGCGATGGACAGATTTAGTTTACGCTTAAGGAAAAAGCCCATGAGAGTTAACTTGAAGGGAATGCACTATGAGCTATCAGTTTCCTTTCAAGGCGTGCACGGAGATGGCGTCGGTGATGTACGGAGCCCAGCCGGCTCTGCACGTCTCGGCTTATGACTCCAAGAATCTGACTGCTCAACAAATGGAATGACGAGACAGGAAATGACGATGCACTTTCTGGATAGCTCGTGAGAAAACAAGCCTCCTGAAGATGTTGAGTATTTCTGTCAAAACCCACAGAATTGCATGGTAGCAGTTATCTATCTATTCATTTTTTTCTATTAATGAAAAGAGCTGACTGTGTCAATTCAGTGCAACATCCTCAATAGATTAAAAAAAGAACTACATAATTTGTGTTTAAATTAGGCAGCTGACTTCTTAGATTTAAAGAGAACCCAGAAGTGACTATATCATCGTTTTGCGGCTTTAAGCTAAATGAAATCGAGAAGTATAACGCGTCATTCATTAAAGAAAAAAAAAAAACAAAGTTCTCACTTCCACTTAAGTTCGATGCGATGGCATTGTTGGAAAAAGACGGCATCATGGATTGAAGCTGATTAAACGTTACTCATGGGGAATGCATCTTTGCTCTGAAATGCAATCCCATCCACCCATGCTCCGCATAAGTGCTTATTTAAAACTTAATCACATTTATCTGAGTGAAATGGGAGTCATTCTTCCTCTCTCTTCTTTCCCAGGCAACTCTTAAAGCCTGCCGGGCTTTACGCTTTCAGACTTCAACTGGACTCATCCTCCACAGACTTTAAGGCAGCAGCATTCATTTTCGGAACACACCTGAACTCGGCTGCCCTGAACTTTCTGTGACTTCACAGATTATATATACACATTCAAAAAGGCAACTGCAATCAACAAAATCCTGGTGTAAAGACTCAGAATGAGGACATTTCCTTAATCTTTCACCTTTGAAATACATTGTTTCATTCAGCCCAACACAACTAAGGCCCACTGATCCTCAAAAATTATCAGCATTATAAAAGATCCACATGAAATCTGCTGGTCTGTGGAGAACATTTCAAACCAAAAAGCATCTTTCCGATTTTCTTCCTTGTGCTGTGTGGCAGAGAGCACCAGGTGCAACTACTGTGGTCAATAATACAAATAGAATTTGGGGATTATTATCGTTATTTTCTGTGACATAGATGGTTATTTGTGTTTGAAATAAAAACCGAAATGCTTTCTTTGTGTGTCACACATCGCCAATGGAACAACAACACAGTGGTTTATATTTCTGAATGAAATAATACTGAGTCAAATCTGAAAAGATGTGTAAGAGCAAGTTAAATGTTTTCGAGATAATTGCGATTTTCAAATCGCAATTATCATTATAATTGTTTAAAAAACATTAATGTTAATCTTATTTCTACATAAGATAAAGCCTTTCTATCTTGTGAAAACACCCATTCTTCTCAGCCGTCTTTTTCGAGAGAATAGAGTCTCCTGCAATGAGGCTAATTGGAGCATGTTGAGATTGACGCCATTAGAATTTACATACTGCATCTGAAGGCTTGCAGAATAGTGAATAGACTCTCATCCTGAGAGCAGGTGTGGAAATATACTCAGAAAGTAGTCTTTTAGTGCAGACAGCTCGCGTTAAACCTTCTACTTTATGCAGAAATAGCTGTAGCTACAGAGGAAAAGAGAGGTTTGAACAAAATGCCCAACGACTGAAAAGATAACCGTTAAAGAACTGTAAAGATAGTGTCAGATTCTCGATCAAAATCTATACACAACGTATACGTAATATCTGCAAGGTACTTTACCTTATCTGCAATCAGCAAGAAAATAAAAACTTTTTGATATAATATCTTTTCCATTTTTGTCAGATGGAACAGTGATAGAAAACGTATGTAACTTATGTAAAATAATACTGAATACTACTAGTTTTTTTATTTGGTACAGGAAGCCATCACTAGGCCGAAGTGAGTTTAAACAATTTGCGATCCAGAACATTCACCATTCTTCAAAAATCTTCCAGAAGAGTTAAATTGTCCAGCAGTTGGTAATTGCAGGAAACATTTTGCATATTTTGAGATAAATCGGGAAAGAAAAAATTGAATTGTGCCTGTGCAGTTTCAAGGCATGGAAGGGATTTATTTTCCATGAACAATATGTATATGCAGTTAAAGTAACTGGAGGGAAACTCCCAAAGTGTGCCTGTCAAACATAAAATAATGGAATCCATGTGATGGATAAAGGTAATCTTTGCTTTTTCATTTATCAGATGGAATGCTTTTTCTTTCTCGTACCTTTATAAAAAAAATATTTTGCATTCAAAGTAGCCCGTAAATTGAAAATTTACATAAGATCAGGACGCTGCCCACATGCATTAGATACAGTGGGCAGCATCTAATGCATATGGATGCCCCACGTAATAAACAGGAACTGCATGCACATTTGTTGCTCCTGTCTGCATTGGATCATATCCAGTCCTTTATAGGATAAATAAAGATGAATTTAAAAAAGGAAGAGGGTAAACGCAGCTTTAACTCTCTGAAATATTCAAATGTTTAACCTATTCATTGGTTGGTAAACATTTAATTTATTATGTTATATTATATGATGGTTCCTGAGGTATATAATCACTTCAGTTTTTACCCCATGGTAAAAGAGGTTTGAACCAATATACATGTACATTTTATTTCTCAGATGAAGAAGACTAAAGGATGTCACAAAAGAAAGATGCTTTCACTCATACCTCCCTTTTGTTGACAGGCTCCTTTCTTCTCATTTGATTGCAGTCGAGCAACAGGGCATTTAGTCATCTGCTTATTATTTCTAAGTGCTTTCCACTTTCATACAACAACATTCGATATTGTTCTCTGACACAAAAGATCTGGGTATATCAGGTGAAGTCCCACAGGCCTTCCTTCCAGTTTATCCTATAATTTACAAAGTCCATGACATGATGCCAGAATATGAGAGATAATTGCCTTTCTTTGTTGGATTAACTCATAATTTTATAGGAGTCGCATATATGTAAGGTTATGTAAAAGATACATAAAGATCATATTCTTAACATATGAGTTGCACCATTAAAAACCAAAAGAAAAAATATATTAATTATTTGTCTCCCCGAATAGTCAGTGTCACAAAGGGACAAATACCATTTTTATGATACACTGTAAAAAGAAAATAACTTGCCTGACAAAACAAATACTTTTTCAATGCATGTACACATTAAAACTAATAAAAGTCATGTTTTTAAGGTAAAAACTTGAATAGATGTTGAATGTACATTTTCAACTAGACTCCAAGTGGTCTAAGCACCCCACACAGACTTAGGTTCATTTCTTTTTCTGAAAGAAGTCAATGATGGAGTACCAATATTCTCAGCAAAGCTGCTGTTATTTGCAAGTTATTTTTCTGCTTCTTTTTCATCAGCTGGCTGCAACACATCATAACGGCCCAAAGAGACTATCTGTCAACCAATGCTCATAAAGGTGTTTCCACACATTTCAACTGTACAAATTCAGAATATCTAACTGGTTATTTTACACAATCCAAAAAGTTTGAAAAAATAGATACAAGAAAAAATATTCCTGGAGAAATGGTTCAGTAATAAGTCGGTATGATTGACATGGTCATAGCAGAATTTAATGGCATACTGCGCACGGAAGAAATTTAA